ATTGCTTTACCCATGGTCCCCTGGACCTCCTTATACCTGACTATCCTTAGAACGGCTGCCTGTTCTGAGTCACTCCATAACACCATTGCCAAAGTGTCCCTTCCACTGGTAGCCCTCATGCTTCACGTTTATCAAATAAAAACAAACTTTTGGGGGCTGGAGAGATGGCTCAGTGATTAAGAACACTGTCTGTTCTTCCAAAGAACCCACATAGCAGCTCACAACTGTCTGTAATATCAATTCCAAGGGATCTGACACCTTCACACTAATGCACATAAAATAAAAATTAAATAAATTATTTTTTAAAAAAACAAACTTTTGGGGCCTTTCTACACATTTTGCTTCCATTATTTTATTTCTTTCTTTAAAAAATGTTCACTTTTGATTTCTATTTCTGTGTGTTGTGTGTTCCTGAGTGAGTTTCTGTGTGCCTCATTGGTACAAATGTCCTCGGAGGCCAGAAGGTGTGGTGTCATAGCCACTGCAGCAGGGCTGCTGGTGGTTGTGAGCCGCCTGACAGGAGCTTTGGGAATCTAACTTGGTGCTTTTAACTGCTGAGCTGAATCTTAGGTCTCTGCAACAGTTGTGTGTGTGTGCTGTGTGTGCGCGGGGCACAGACACCTCAGCACACCCAGAGAAGACAGTGGCAATTTTGTGGAGTCAGTTCTTCCATTTCATTCCAGGACTGAACTCAGTTCCATAGGCTTGTACATGCCTTCACCCACTGAGCCATGTCCCTTAGTTTACCTTTGTGCCTGCCCTTCCTTCCTTCCTTCCTTCCTTCCTTCCTTCCTTCCTTCCTTCCTTCCTTCCTTCCATCTTCCCTCCTTCCCTCCCTTCCTTTCTTCCTTTATAGACAGGGTTTCTCTGTGAAGCCCTAGCTGTCCTGAAATTCGATTTGTAGACCAGGCTGGTCTCAAACTCAGAGATCCACCGGCTTCTGCCTCCCTCATGCTCAGCTGACCTTGAACTTCTGATCTTCTTACTATCATTCCTGCTCTTATATGGTGCTGAGGATCAGACCTCTGGCTTCTTGCATTCTAAGAATGGACTCTACCAACCGACTCACATCTTCAACCGCCCTGGCCCAGATCTTTTTAACTCTTTAAAGTTTTTAAAAATTTGAAACATGAGATGCTTAGACTTAGAAAGTAAACACACTTGTGAATATAGATGACCTGAGGTCTATTCCTGGAATTTATGTAGAGGTTAGAGAGAAACTTCCAGAGTTGTCTTCTGACATCCACATTTGAACTGTTCCAGGTTGATACCCAAACGCATGTGTACCCACACACTGGTAGTACATGAAGATTACCAGTTAAATTAATTAATTAAAGATTGTAAGTGTGTATTTTAGTTTAAAGGCAGGCTCTGGATACGTTTCCCAGGCTGGCCTTTTGGCCTTCTACCCCAGTGTCCTGAGTCTGGGATTAGGGGATACAATGCCACACCCAGCTAATAATCTGCATTTTTTTTTTCTCATTTCCTTTTCATCCAATTAGGAGTCAGGTCCCACAGACTCTACCACATGTCAGAGGGCTGCCGACACGTGCTGTGCTTCTGCTACAAGTGTCATCATGGTAGTCTAAGTTTCTTCGTTTTCCTTGCTTATTTTTTGGTGCTGGGGATTGAGCCTGGGTCTCCACACATGTAGGCATCCTCCTCCTCCCGGTTATATCTCATTTTACTTTTATTTTGAGACAGGGTCTAACTGAGTCACCTGTCTGACCTTGAACTTTGGGTCCTGCCTCAGTCTCTTGCATACTTGAGATGACAGTCCTTCCCTTCATCTCCTGGCCCAGTTACCAAGCATCTTTTTTTTTTTCTTTTTTCCCAGTATTTCAGGATTTCTCAAACTTTTCTATGTAAAAGAAAAAGTTTAAAAGGTGGGCAGGAGAATATACAGCTCTGTGATGGTCAGTTTCAATGGTCTGTTTGACAGAATCTTGACTCACCTGGGAAGAGGGTCTTAAGGTTCTTAAGAGTTTTAAGAAGCTGCTTCAGGCTTCTGCCTTGACTTCTCTTCTGTGATGGACTGGAACCTGAAATTGTGAGCTAAAAATGAGCCCTTTCTCCCCATTGTTTATTATTTTTATCACAGCAACAGAAATAAAATTAGGACAAGCTGTAGGCACTGTTTTTGTCAATCCTGTTTATTTATTTATTTATTTTGATTTTATGTGCATTGGTGTGTTGCCTGCATGTATGTCTGTGTGAAGGTGTCAGATCTTGGAGTTACGGAGAGTTGTGAGCTGCCATGTGGATGCTGGGAATTGAACCTGGGTCCTCTGGAAGAGCAGCCAGTGCTCTTAACTGCTGAGCCATCTCTCTGGCCCTGTTGCTGTTTTTTCTATGTAGGATGTTTTGCTTACATGTACGTCTGTGTATCAGATAAACATGTGACTGAAATCAGTGTCTCAGACATCCAGGTTGGCCCCCAACGCTCTGTGTAGTTGAATAGCTTTAAACTTCTGTCTTGCCGCCACCTCCTTTCTGTGTGCTAGGACCACTGGCCTGTGCCACAGAGGCCAGTTTATGATGTGCTGCAGATCGACCTCAGGGTTTTGTGCATGCCGGGCACTCTACCAAATGGAGTTCCTGCCCAGCCCCTGTAGCAGTCCGAAGTCTATGTCTTTACTATCTGAGAATATATTTTCCTAACAGAGGGTCTAATGTAGCCCATTCCCTGTAGCCCCTCACCTCAAGGACACAGGTTCATGTAGCCTTGAACATCTGGTCTTCCCGCCTCCTAAGGAGTTCTGAGATTATAGGCTTGTACCACCACACCCTGTTTACGTATTGCTAGGGATGAGCCCGGGGCCTCCTGAGTGTTAGGCAAGCACTGTGCTAACTGAGCCACATCCCTTTCCTGGAGTGAGAGAAATTTCAAGATACACTCTGGCATCGTAAAGGGTTGTGTAAATTTTATGATCTCCTCCACCTTTTTAACAGTGTCTCACTTGAAGCTTGGTCTGGTCTGGAATTCGCTATGTAAACCAGTCTGGCCTCAGACACTCAGTGATCCATCCATCCATCCTCCAGCTCCTGTGTCCCAAATGCTGGGATTAAAGGCTTGTGCCACCACACCCTGCTATTTTTGTTTTAATGTGTGGTGCACAGACTGTAATGCAGGCAAAACTCCTATGCACATTAAAAAAATAAAAATAAAGAATTAAGTTTTATTTTCACAACAATTATTACTCTCTAGCAAGCTGGAATACTTGTATGCGCTCAGTATTTAGTTATGCACGGTTGCTGGCAAATGGCTCTTTGCTATTACGATGATCTGGTAGAGTTTTTTTCAGCTGGGTTCCTTAGAGCATCAGAGTGGGAACTTGGTAGAAATGCTCGCCCGCTATCTGTCCTATACTGGACTTTCCAGAATTAGATCCCTGCGCTGGAGTAGCCTTCCAGCTCATTGTGATGCAGCTGAATTTGAAGTTTTATTTATCCAGCACTTAGTTTTTTACATCCCCTCTCCCCTCCCCCTCTCCCTTCCTTCTTCCCTTTTCTCCCTCCTTTCTCAAACGCGCCCCAGGGCTGGGATTAAAGGCCTGTGCTACCACACCACCAGACAAGAATGGAGGGTTTTGAAGGTTCCAGGCAAGTGCTCTACCCCTGAGATACATTCCCAGGCTTGCGCTCCATTTTCTCACCCAAGCAAGGTACAAGTTTAGAACAGAATAACAAAAACTTACTGTCCCTGAATCTAAACTCTTATGTAGGCGCAAAATTATTCATTTCTGAAACAAGATGTTAGCTCTAAAAGCTCTTTTACTAGAATTCTGCTGTGAAACATAATTTTCAGCCTGGCCTGGTGGTATACTTCTTTAAGGCCACCATAGGCAAGTTTGAGGCAAGCCTGGGCTACAAAGTAAGTTTCAGGACAGCCAGGACTGTTAACACAGAGAAAACCTGTGTTCATCAAGCCAAACCAAACCATTTTTTTTTTTTTCATATGGACTTTTTCCTAGAAGAGCCAGAAGCAGATTGTTAAACCACTTGCCGCCTCCTAGTGGCTAGGTTTTGGTATCGCGACCAACATCACACTTAAACCCACATCAATCTTGTTTCTGTATCCCTTTCCTGATGCTTTCGTTTACCAACCCAGGTCTATAGCTCCCCCCTCAAGTAGCCTCAACTAGGCTTGCAGAAAACCCCGTAACTGCTTATTTAACAGGACAAAGTTCCTTCCAGTTTTGCTCAAAACCGCTTTAAGAATTCCTCTTTCAGCCAGTGGACATGTGAACAACATGAACCCTCTTCTAGGTGAGCTAGGCTGTGAGTTCGAGGGCAGCCTGACCAAAGCGAGTGCAGAAGAGCCAAACAGCTCAGATACTGGAAATTCCGGCTGTGAATTTCCAAACAGCTCAGACATTGGAAATTCTCCCGACCCATCGGCTGCCATTAGGACCAGTTGTAAACGAGGACCACTCAGACTGCACTCCCTCCCTCTAGCTCTCCCGGGGGAGAGAAGAACGATCATCAATAGCGGTCAGCGGTTGCGGGAAAGCAACGCCGAAGGCCGGCTTCACGCTCAGGAGGGAGTGCTGCGTCTCGTCCTCGTGGTCTCGGGTGCTCTACACGATCAGAGAAACTTCTCTAGTAGCGAACTATAGAAATGATCCCTGAAAGTATAGTCTTGGCCCTGCTCCCGCCGCCGCCGCGGAGTCACGCCGGGCCGCCCCTCTCCAGCTTGTGGTGACGCCCCGCCCCGCCGCAGCAGCCTCTCCTCAGAGACACCGCACGCGCGTGCCCATGAACGCGCTGCTAGGGTGTCACTTGGGGAAAATAAGATCATTCTGAATACTTAAAATGCATTGTAAAGGGACGCGGGGGCTTACGCTCCTGATTAACATAGAACAGGTGACAGCCAATCCGACGCCAGCGTCTGCAGGTTCCGGAACGAAACCACTTCCGGACCAGTTTAAAGAGGAAGGTGTGTGCGCCTCTGCGAGGCTTTGGCTTTACTATTCGGAGTTTCAGCCTGCCGGGACGGGAGGTGGAGGCGGCGGGTTACGTTCATCCTCAGCTGCCTACTGAGTTCAGGGTAGCCTGAGCTCGAGGAGCCACGTTCTCCGAAACGGGGCGGGGCGGGGGGGGCGGAACTAAAAATTCTGAGTCCTCGAAGTTCCGAGCGTAAAGACGCTCCACGTGGGACCCGTGCGGGAACCCGCTGCCGCCATCTTCCTTGCTGGCGAGGCGTGTGTGCGTCATGCGCCGCCAGGCCCGGATGCGGGACGCCGCCGCCCGTAACCAAGATGGCGGCCGCGGGTGGGCGTGGCCAGTGATGGAGTCTCCGGGTGTGCGGGCCGTGGAGGCGGCAATGGATCCCAGCTGGGAGGATGAAGAGGAGGAGGACGAAGAGGAGACGGAGGAGGTTGTAAGCGCGGGTCGGAGGCCCGCGGCATCGGCGGTCATGGCTGTGGCAGCCCCCGGGTGGGAAAGGGAGAGTGAGATGCGGACGGCGGGAGGGGGTCCCGGAGACAGCTCACTCGAGAAGCCGGGCAGGTCTAACTCCAGTTCTAGTTTACCCGTCCTAGAGAGAACAGAGATGGTCTGGGCGGTTCTGCAGGTAATCTGCTTCCTCCAGAATCTAGATACAGTTTTCACGAAGGTGGCATCGTTGAATCGGGATGTGAAGCTTTTCTTGTTTACTGCTTCTTGCTCACCGTGTACCTTATTAACTTTTCTTTCTTTCACCAGGAGCAGTTTGTTCTGGTAGAACTGTCAGGCATAATTGATTCAGACTTTCTCTCCAAGTGTGAAAATAAATGCAAGATTTTGGTGAGTCTTGGAATTCGGGGAATGTTGTAGATTTTCTTAAAATAAGAATGAAACATGAGACGCTTGTCCACAAAGATAGAAGGTGCGTTCTACTTTACAAAGCAGTGAACCCTCAAGAGCCATTCCGGAAGAACAGGTACCAGGGGGTTCTATGGAGTAGAGAAAAAGCCTAACTGCTTCACCACCTGAATGTGTGGCTGCGGAGAGAGAGCAAAAGATAACTTTGTATCAAACTTTTGGGGGAGCTTTAGGACAGAAGCCTCACCCAGTATTTGCTGTACCTAAGCAGAGCCTGTCTTCTTTCTAGTTCCATCCTCCAGTAGAAACGCAGTCAGGAGTTTGAGTGTGGACATGTGTGCGGTGTTGCCAGGCCAGTTGTCCACATTACCAGCTTCATGGTGCCTTTGGTCTGTCTCTGTTTCTCGAACCCATGCCCCACTCATCACATAGCACTCACAAGACACAGCATCAGAGCAGGCTGTCCTGGGGTGTACCTGTAATGCCAGCTCTGGAGAGCCTAAGGCAGGTGGATCCTTAATGACATAATAAATTCTAGGCCAGTTTGAGCTACAGAAAGCCCTGTCTCCAAAAAACCTAAAGAAGACAAAAATTAAAGAGATGAAGTTATAGGGCCTGGAGAGATGGCTCAGAGCTTAAGAGCACTGGCTGCTCTTCCAGCGGTCCTGAGTTCAATTCCCAGCAACCACATGGTGGCTCACAACCATCTATAATAAGACCTGGTGCCTTCTTCTGGCCTGCAGGTGTACATGCAGACAGAACATTGTATACTAAATAAATAAATAGATAAAGTATATAGATAGAGTTATTTCCTGGTAGTGGTGGTAGAGGCACACGCCTTTAATTCCAGCACATAGGAGGCAGATCTCTAAGTTCAAGACCTGCTGGGTCTACCGAGTGAGTTCCAGGACACAGGGTTATTACAGAGAAATCCTGTCTCAAAAAACAAAACAAACAAACAAAGCCACCAAAAACAAAAACAAGAGGGGAGGGGAGAGAGATTATTATTAAAGTTTTTGGACAAAATCCCTGCCTCCAAATGTTTCAGCAAGCTACTTTGTGCTGCTCACCCCAGCATGCCAATCAGAGATGAGTACTGTGGTCTGCATAGCAAGTTCCTGGACAGACATACACACAGAGAGAGACCGTGTCTCAAAATGACAGCAAAAAGCCCACTCAGGCATGGTGGCACCAACACACAGGAGGCAGAAACAGGAGGAGCTCCCTGAGTTTGAGGCTAGCCTGGTCTACATAGTGAGTTCCAGGAAAAATAGAAACGTTGTCTCAAAATCCAAAGAAAAAGAAAAGAAACCCAGTAAAACAAAAACCAAGAGATGAGGGTGGCTCAGAGAAATTTAACCAATGTGGCCATGTTGGAAAGAACTTTGACATTATATAGAAATGGGAAATGGTTCTGGTTCTATAAGGAATTCTAAAAAATTTTTATCACCATCACCCAAGGTGGAGGGGCAGTATAGTTGCTATGATATTACTGTTTTGTTTTTTTGTTTTTTTGTTTTTTTTTTGGTTGGTTTTTGTTTTTTTAAGATTTATTTATTTATTATGTATAGTGTTCTTCCTGCATGTATACCTGCATGCCAGAAGAGGGTACCAGATCTCATTATAGGTGGTTGTGAGCCACCATGTGGTTGCTGGGAATTCAACTGAGGACCTTTGGAAAAGTAGCCAGTGCTCTTAACCTCTGAGCCATCTCTCCAGCCAGCGCCCCTCCCCCCTTTTCTTTTTGAGACAGGGTTTCTCTGTATAGCCTTGGTTGTCCTGGACTCGCTTTGTAGACCAAGTCTGAGTTCCAGCTCAGAGATCCGCCTGCCTCTGCCTCCCCAGAGGCTGGGCTTAAAAGCATGTCCCACTACTGCCCAGTTCCAAGGCCATTTTTAAACGATGGTATTTCTTTGTCCTTTAATCTGTTACAGGGAATTGACACCGAGAGGCCCATCCTGCAGGTGGATAGCTATGTGTTTGCTGGGGAATATGAAGGTAGGACAACCAGGCACACGAACTCATCTTTCCTACGGCTTTCAGAGTCATGCCTCTGCCCTCTGTTCTAATTCACCTTCGCATTTTCCTGCAGATACTCTTGGGACCTGTGTTATATTCGAAGAAGGTATTGAACGTGGTAAGGCTAGCTTTTTCTACAGATTATTTCAAGTACATGGTGTGTTTTGCTTTTTGTTTTTTATTTTGTTTTCTTGTTGCTTAATAGCAGGTCAGCTGTAGCTCAGGCTGGCTTTGAACTCATAATCCTCATGCCTTCTTTAGTGTTGGGATTATAGCCATACATGACTATGGCTAGCTTCAGATATACAATATATAGTAAATATTGGGGGCTGAAAAGATGGCTCAGAAGTTAAGAACCTGGTTTATTCTTTCAGGGAACCCAAGTTCAGTTCCCTGCACCCATGTTGGGTGACTCACAAGTGCTTATAACTCCAGGGGATCTGGCCTCAAAGGGCACATACCCACATACAGACAGGCACACATACACATAAAAAAATTCTTAAAAAAATACGTGTGATAAATTTTACAGTTAAAATATCAGACTGGGCATGGTGGTGTGTATGTTTAATCCCAGCAAATGAAAGGCAGAGGCTGGTGGATCTCTGAATTTGAGGCTAGCCAGCATTATGGTGAGACCGACCCTGTCTCAAAAAACTAATAATAATAATAAAAAAAAAAAAAACACCTCAGGCTGGTGAGATGGCTCAGTGGGTAAAGGCGCTGTTGCCAAGCCAGACAACATGAGTCCAGTCCCTGGGGCCCACGTGGTGGAAGGAGAATACTGAGTTTTTGCAAATTTAAGACCTCTGACCGCCACATGCATATCGTGTGGTATCATGACACACATGTACCCACCGTCTAATTGTAGCCAATCCTCCCTTCTTGTCTGTTGACCTGGGATAAGTGCTACAGAAACTGGCTGGCACAGGCTGATGGTCCCAGCAGTTTGGGGAGGATTGTGAGTTCAAGGCCTGACTAAGCTTCACAGTGAGATTCTGCCTCAAAACCACAAAGTCACAGTCTGATGGCAGAGTGCCTGTGCAGCATATGGGAAATCCGTGTTCGTCCCCAGTACGTCAAAAATCCCTGGCATATGAGGCCCTATGTGCAGGTCCAAGCTCGTGCACTTTCCTCTGTCTTCAGGCGTAATCACTGTTTTGAATTTGGTGTTTCTCCTATACCCAATTTTATATTACATATTTATGTATTTTCAGACTTGAGGGTTTAGCTTTGTGGCAGATTCTCGCCCAGCAGCATGAATTCAGTCCCTAACACTGCAAAACAAAACAGGAACCAAAAAAGTTATATAAAGTGTAACATACCATACAAGGTATTCTGGGTTTTTTAGTTACATTTGGAGGTTTATACATGATGATATATAGTGTGAGTTTATTTTCTTCTTGTGTAGTATTCCATTTTGGGGCTACAGTATAGTTTATTCTGTAGTCCATTCCTTCTGTGAGTGCAAGCTGATACTGTACTTTGGAGATACTGAGTTCAGTTGTATAAAATTCACCAATGTTGCCGAGCAATGGTGGTGTTTGCCTTTAATTCCAGCACTCAGGGAAGCAGAGGCCAGCCTGGTCTACATGGTAGAGTTCCAGGACACCCAGGGCTACACAGAGAAAAAAAAATTCACCAATACTTACTACTCTCTCTCTCTCTCTTTCTTTCTTTCTTTCTCCCTCCCTCCCTCCTCCTCCTTCCTTCCTTCCTTCCTTCCTTCCTTCCTTCCTTCCTTCCTTCCTTCCTTCCTTCCTTCCTTCTCCTTCCTTCCTCATATACACTTGCAGACCACCATGTGGTAGAGGAGGGCACCAGATCTCATTGTAGATGGTTGTGAGTCACCATGTGGTTGCTGCGAATTGAACTAAGGAGCAGCCAGCGCTCTTAACCTCTGAGTCATCTCTTCAGTCCTATTTCTTTCTTTTTAATTTGATATTTCAAGACAGGGGTTTCTCTGTATAGCTGTCTTGTAACTCACTCTGTAGACCAAGCTGGCTTCAAACTGAGAGATGTGCTTATTTCTGTCTCCCAAGGGCTGGGATTAAAGGTGTGCACTACGACATATAACTAATAGCTACTATTTGTTACCTTCCACATGCCAGATACTGTTCTAAAGGATATCTATCTATCTATCTATCTATCTATCTATCTAGATACCCTATGTCTATCTATTCTTTATATATATCCTACACACACACACACACACACACACACACACACACACACACACGTGTATCTATAGTCGCTCACATATCTATTCATTTAATCTTCATCACAGTTCAGTGAGCAAGATAACTTTTTGTTCATTTGGAGGCAGCCTCAGCACAGGGTGGCCCGGGTACTCCAGGCTGGACTTTGCAGTTTTACTGCTGTGTTAGCCTCCCAAGTGTCAGGATAGGTATCATTTCATATTCCTTCGTAGTTGGAGAAACTAAAGCAAGGGGTCAACAGCACTCGGATTCACATGGGAGTAAGTGTCAGGTTCAGGGTTTGAATTCATCCTGGCTTCAGGGCTCCCATTCACTTTCTCTTTTCTCTTGGTGATGGTGGTGATTGAACTACAGCTTTGCTTATGCTGAGGAGATACGCATATTCTCTCCCTAGCTGACTTCAGACTTGTGGCCCTCCTGTCCCAGCCTTGTGAGTGCTTCACTGTACAACCATGCCTGCTTTGTTTTGTTTTTTGAAACACGGTTTCTCTGTATAACAGCCCTGCCTATCCTGGACTTGCTCTGTAGACCAGGCTGGCCTCAAACTCAGAGACCACCTGCTTCTGCCTCCCAGAGTGCTGGGATTACAGGTGTGTACCACCATGCCCAGCTAATCATGCATGTTTTAAATGTTCAAGATTTATTTTTTTTATTTTTTTCCATTTTTTTTTTTTTAAGATTTATTTATTATTTATTCAGTGTTCTGCCTGCATGTGTGTCTCAGGACAGCAGAGGGCATCAGATTCTACTACAGATGGTTGTGAGCCACCATGTGGTTGCTAGGAATTGAACTCAGGACCTTTGGAAGGGCAGACAGTGCTCTTAACCACTGAGCCATCTCTCCAGCCCCAAGATTTATTATTAACACTATACTGCCAGAAGAGGGCACCAGATCTCTCTATAGATGGTTATGAGCCACCATGTGGTTGCTGGAAATTGGGCTTGAGACCTCTGGAAGAGCAGCCAGTGCACTTAACCTCTGAGTTATGTCTCTAGTTCCCAAGTCTTAACTGTTCTTAACTGTGCTGAATACCCCACTATGGAAATGCCACCGTATGTTCTTTATGTATGTCTTTGTGTGTATAGGTAAAGACGTCTGCAAACTTTAGATATCTAGAACTGGTTGATGAGCTGGGGAAAGAAATAGATTTAGAGACTGGGGCTGTAGCTCTCCTCTGGAACATTTGCTTAGCATGTGTGAGGCCCGAGCCACAACTGTCTAGCTCAAAAAAGCACACGTTAAAAGAGAGGTGGGGGAGAAGAAAAATGGAGCGTTGTTTATCTTCAACTAAGTGAGCAGCTTGAAGCAGAGGAAGTTGCCAGTTTGAATATTAATAGCTGGACTTCAGATGGTTCAGATGGATAGATGTCTTCATGTCTCTCCTGGCATGTAGGAGGTGCTTGCACCTGGCAGAGCAGCTTGTGGAAGTTGCCGGTGTTTCCTGTCTTTGGCCTGGAGTCTTATTCTCTTACCTGTGGGCCTAGTCTTTTGCAAGTTTTAGTTCAGTGCAGCAAACAAAACAGTAAAGGAAGGGGGAAAAAAACTTTTAGTTCTAGACTTGAATATCACAGGAGATTTTTTCCCTCAGGCTTCTCTAATTGGGAATATCCCCACTCAAGCCTGAACTTCAGGTAGAACATTTGATTCCTGTCCTTTGTTTATGTGATGAAATTGTAGGCACACTGCCCTGAAGGCCAGCTCCTGACCCCTGTGTCCCATGTAGGGCTTGATTATAAAGCTCGTTGTTTAATCTCTTTGTGTTCATGTTTCTGTCCTTACAGTTGTTTGTGTCTGAGTCCTGTTGTGCCTTTCACTGGCAGTGTTATCTGTCATTTCTTTACATGGGGGGACAGGAACGAGTCATGATGTGAACTTCCTGTGCTGTTTCCATAGGAAGTAGTTGAGACTAACTCCCTTAACAGCAGTAATTGATTTGATGGCATGGAGCAGTGTAATAAGATCACTTTATGTCCTAGTGGATCCGGAAGGGACTGATAAGACTGTGCTGAAATACAAGTGCCACACAATGAAGAAGCTCAGCATGACCAGGACTCTTCTGACAGAAAAGAAGGAAGGAGAAGAAAACATAGGTTCGTTCCCTCTATACCTTGAAGATGGGTGCTCTTGGGCTGGGAGTAAAGCCAAGTGGTTGAGAGCACTTCCTGCACATGTGAGGACCTAGGGTCAATGCCTAGTTCTAGTGGGGATGTGGTAGCAGAGGCCTGGGGGTGGGAAAAAGCAGCTGAAGATCAGGAGTTCAAGGCCAGGTCCAGCTACTTGTCAGTGGAAGGAAGATATGAGCCCAAAAACATAGCTAGGCGCTATGGTGAAGCACGCCATGACTGTATTCCCAGCTCTTGGGGAGGCAAAAGCAGGCAGATCTCTGTGAGTTCGAGGACAGCCTGGTCTGCAGAGTGAATCCAGGACAGGTAGGGCTACATAAAGAAACCCTGTCTGAAAAACAAAAACAGACAGAGAGAGATACCTTTCTAGGTGCTGGAGTAGTGGCTCAGGAGTACAGGTCCATCCTTAACACCCTTGCAGTGGTCTGGGGCTATATCTCAGCAGCAGGGAGATGGAGACAGGAGGATGGGCTCTCTGGTCAGTCAGTCTAGCCAAATCAGTGAGCTCCGGGTTCAGTGAGACCTTGCCTCAAAGAACAAGATACAGTGTGGTTAAGGAAGATGTCTTGTGTCTACTTTTGGCCTTTAAATTATTATTGGCAGCAGGATATTGTGCAAATGTGGAAATCGGAGTCAGTTCTGTCATCCCAGACTCTGTAGAATCTGGGGATCAAATTCATGTCAAGGTTAAGGGCAAGTGCTTTTACACACTGAGCTGTCTTAAAAGCCCCACAAAAAAAAAAAAAAAAAAAAAGCCAGGCATAGTGGCTCTTGCCTTTAATCCTAGCACTTGGGAGACAGAAGCAGACAGATCTGTGTGAGTTTGAGGCCAGTCTGATGTACTTATTGAGACCCTGTCTCAAAAATAAAGATAACATAATACAAAATAAAATTTTAGCTGGGCATGCATGGTGGGTATGCCTTTAATCCCAAGGCTTGGCAGGCAGAGGCAGGCAGATCTCTGTTCATTTGAAGTCAGCCTGGTTTCCAGAGCAAGTTCTAAGACAGCCAAGGCAAAAACCCTGTTTTGCCCCCCCCAAAAGGAAAAATTTACAAGGTGCTTGGTCTGGTGAAGATACATTGGAACAAACCTGAGGCACACAAAGCTATATTCCTCCTACGTTTGTTTATCCCTCTAACGGCGGACCTTTATGATGGTTCTATACCCTGGCTATTGTGAACATAGATGTACAAGTGCCATGAGTGATGTCGGTTAAGAAATAAATATACACTTAACTGAAATTTCTCTTTCTGTTTCTTTCTTGTTGGTCCTGCTTATCTCCCGCCCAATTAGATGGTGTAGAATGGCTGCAGATGAAGGATAATGATTTCTCCTATAGACCCAACATGATTTGCAGCTTTCTACAGGAAAATGAAGATGAAGCTGGAGTGTCAGCCTCTGATAAACCTGTGGAGTTGGAGGACCAAGAGATGGCAGTGAAAGGCAGTGCGGAGCAGACACCCGAGCAGGAGAAAGCACAGCACTTGGAAGCAGGGGACCCTGGTCTTCCTGGGGATACCCCTTCTACAATGCAAAGTTCTGTTTTCATGGGAACTCAGGGTGGAAATGTTTCTCAGAAGAACCAGCCATGAACTTTTGGAAAAGAAGTCATATATGAAATTGGCTCACAGTCGGTTCACCATTGTGTTGTTCTTGTTGACAGTACACGTATTTCCAGTTACTACGCAATGTAGTGTGCTCAAATCGTGCAGGACAAGATAGGAGTTCCGTCTTTAAAAATACAATGAGAGCTAGCACCATAGTTAAGAACACTGGCTGCTCTTCCCGAGGACCAGGGTTTGACTCCCAGTGCATTCACAGCAGTTCAGAACTGTCTGTGGCTTCAGTTCCCAGATCTGATGCCTGCTTCCCGCCTCTTAGGCTCCAGGTTCTCTCTGTCTACCTTTCTGTGGGTTCTGGGAATCACAGTCGGGTCATGAAGCTTACACAGCAAAAGCTTTACCAGCTGCCCCATCTCACAGCCCTCTCTCCACATAAAAATCCCCTATAGAAATTCTTTATACCAGGCCATGGTGGAGCATGCCTTTGATCCTAGAGAGGCAGGTGGATCTATTGAGTTCAAGGCCAGCCTGGTCTATAGAGTAAATTCTAGGACAGCCAGCTCTACACAGAGAACCCTGTCAAGAAGAAAACAAAAACAAGAAACCAAAACATTTATGTATATGTGTGAGTGTATATGTGTGCTCACCACGAACTGACCTGGTGCTGGAGGAGGCCAGAAGAGCACTTTGGGTCTCTTAGAACTGGAGTTAGAGAGGGTCGTGAGCCATTTGGATGCTGGGAATTGAAGTCCAGTCCTCTCCAAGAACAGTAAGTCCTCTAATTGCTGAACCATCACTCTTGTCATCCTCCCCCACCCTCCTTTTTCCTGAGACATAGTTTTGCTGTGTAACCCAGACTAGCCTTGAATTCTCCAGCCTTCTGATAGTAGCAAGTGTTTTTGTATTTTAAAGTCCTCTTCTACAAGGGAGCTATGAGGGGCAGAAACAAGTCAGATGATTGGATTCTGAAAATGCTGCCCTGCACTACTACAAGTTAGAAACTTCTTTGGAAAAAAGGTGGTTTGGAGTTTTTGGTTTGAGATTGGAGCTCATGTCATCCTGGCTGGCCTGGCACTTGTGTAAACCAGGCAGGTACCAAACTTTCTGCTTCTGTCTCCCTAGTGCTAGGATTAAAGATGAACCAGCCTGCATAACTGATCTTGACTTTTCATTTCAGTATTTTGAGATAAAAATAGAACATCAAGTGTAATAATAGCATTATTATGATTTTTTTTTAATTAGTCCTTAGGCGTGGTGGCACACATCTTTGATCCCAGCGCTCAGTGAGTTCTAGGCCAGCCTGCTGTACAAAGCAAGTCCAGGACAGCCAAGGCTACACAGAAAACAAAAGTAAGCCCAGGATAACCAAGGTTACACAGAGAAACTGAAGAAGAAAAGCAGGAGCAGCACTATGGGCATCCTGTGTGTGTGTGTGTATGTATCAGTTGTGTGTCACCTGATATCAGTGCTGGGAAGTTAACTCCGGTTCTAACTCTAGCTCTCTGGGAGAGCAGCAAGCAATTGCTGACCTCAGATTGTGAGGCCTGGCAAGGAGCACCGAGCCATCTCCCCAGCCCAACTGTGGTTATTCTTAAATTTCATATTACACTGTCATTTTTTTGTGCAAAATTATGATGGCCTTTATATGTTAAAGGAACCAATAAATAATATGAAGAGATTAAAAGAAAACTGAGGGCTGAAAATCAGTTTAGACTGAAGAGAGAGAGAAAAAGTAGTCCTCTGATAGTTAATTGTTAATTAGTATAGGAGTAATACAGACACAGATAAAGCAGGTCCAGAGGTAGCAAAACAAACCAAAAACCCTGCTGGGTGCCTCCTGCCTGTCATTCCGGCACTCAGGAGGATTGCTGGGAGTTTGAGGACAGCTGGATTACAGTGTGAAATCCTGTCCCCTAAAGAGAGAGAGGCCCGAATCAACCCACCAAAACCCAGTGTTACTATTTCACCACTTCATTTTTTACATCTCATATATAGAAGGTGGTTTGTTTTTGTTTTTAAATCACAGGTCAGTTCCCTGGAGGACACTTAGTGAATGTCCTCCAACTTAGTCCAGTTCTCCTTCCTTTCTTCCTTCCTTCCTCCCTCCCTCCCTCCCTCTCTCTCTCTCTCTCTCTCTCTCTCTCTCTCTTCCTTTCTTTTTCCGAGACAGGGTTTCTCTGTGTAGCCTTGGCTGTCCTGAACTTGCTTTGTAGACCAGGCTGTCTTTGAACTCAGAGATCTGCCTGCCTCTGCCTCCCTGAGTGCTGGGATTACAGGCATTCACCAGCAGGCCTGGCTTTAATCCAGTTCTGACGTTATGATTCTTAGTGAACTGGCCTTACTGTCAGATCTCCCAAGTTAAAGGCTCAGTCCCATACCACTGCCCCATGTCTTCTTTACATGCTACTGTCAAGAAGTTCCCCAAGTTACCCACAACCTCTGACTTGGCTACAATTGAATGTTCCCACAATCCTTTTCTCACTTTCAATAACTTGCTAAAACAGCTCATAGAATTCAGGAAAAGGACCTGGGAAAGTTTATTAGGTTTATTTGTTGCTTATTTATTTTGTGATAGTGTCTTATATTGTCCAGTCTGACTTTGAACTTGTGTAGCTAAGAATGGCCTCTAGCTAATTCTCTTTGGAAACAGCCAGATGGAAGGACTGCATACAGCCAAGTGGGTATTCCATCTCCTTTCCAAGCCACCCTCCCAGAGCTTCCACATAACCAAGACATAGAAACTCACCAAGTCCAGTCCTCCTGACCTTTTATGGAGGCGCCATTGTTAAGCATGGTTACTTAAGTCACTGGCCACATTATAAGTCAAACTCCAAGCCAGGCTGTGGTGGTGTACACACTTAATCCCAGCACTCAGGAAGCAGAGGCAGGCTAATCTGAGTTCAAGGCTAGCCTGGTCTACAGCTCAAGTTCCAGGATGGCCAGAGCTACACAGAAAGACCCTGTCTTAAAATACAAAACAAAGACAAAAATAAGTCAAACTCCAGTCCTGTTACCATTCCTGATGGTGGTAAATCAAAGTGAGGTTGAAAGGTCCAATGTTATTATTTAATTCAGGGCAGGAGTTTGTCCTAGGACCTTGTATATAATAAGTGCTATGCCCTCAAGATAGCCCAGAGAGCTCTAGCCAGGCCTTAACCCGAAGCTATTTAGAAGCCACCCTCCCACCGCTCATCATTTATGACAGTATACAAAAAGATGTATTTCCTGGAGTGGCAGCACATGCCTTTAATCTTGGCAGGTTATGCATTTAATCCCAACAGCCCACTGGGAAAGGCAGCACCACCAGCTCCACACCATCACCGGCAACAGCTCTATGCCAGCTTAGACTGCATTTCAAGATCCTCCCCCCAAAACCAACCCAAAAACGCACAAACCTTCTTAAAACAGTAAATTAGGCCAGGGGTGGTGGGAAACACCTAGTGTTATGACATAAATTACACGCTGCACAACAGGTTATGGCACAGGGATGTTTATTATGGGAAAGGCGAGACAGAGACAGAGGGAGAGTTTAGAAGAGAGAGAATACAGAGTGGGGAGGGAGACAGAGAATCAGAGGGACAGGCAGAGAGACAAGAAGGAGAGAAGGAGAGAGGGGAGAGGAGGTTGGCCTCGGGCACAAGGAAGGGTAGAGAAACTGAGGAAGAGTGTGTGGCAGTGAAGGCAGGCTGCTTTTATCTGAGCACCCACATCTCCATGGTGGTTGCAGATGGGTGACATCAGAGGTTGCCAGGCAACCTAAGGCAGGCTGCCTATAACCCAATACCTATAATTTTATCACACAAAAGGCAGAAGCAGGAAGAATGCTGAAGTCAAAATCCTGGTGGTCTACGTAGCAAGTTAGAGACTAGATAAAGCGATCTAGGGAAACCCTATCTCAAAACAAAACCCCCCCAAAAAAACTAGTAACTTAAAATCAGACACAAGTGTGCACACCTTGTGACTCAGTTTATACTATGTACATTCAGACTAGGCAAGTCAAAGAAACAGTGGTTTAAAAGGTTGACAGCGCCCACTGGTGGGTGGATAGATAAGCTCTTTGAAGTGATAAAAGTATGTTATAATTAGAAAATGGCTATGGTTTCACTTTTTCTTTCTTTTCTTTGGGCCCAGCTTGTCGCCTGGTGGTTCATTGTCAGATTGAAACAGGTCTTCTGTAGCCCAGGCTGGCATCTAAATCCCTGCATGGCCTGATCCTCCTGGCATTGCACTCCAATGCTGACTTCTTTGGTGTGTGAGAGAGAGAGAGAGAGAGAGAGAGAGAGAGAGAGAGAGAGAGAGAGAACGAGAACCTCATTGTGGAGCCAAGGCTGGACTTTGAATCCTCCTGTCCATCTCTTCCCCCAATGCTGGCCTTACCGGCTTACAAGGCTTGTTCTGGGTTCACTGGCTGTGTGAACGTACCCATAAGCACTGAACTGTATACAATCCAAGGAGTATATTATATACCTATCTGCAAATTATGACTAAAATTTGAGGGGAAATCACAGCAGTACTCTTCGCGTATCTCTTACGTAGAAGGCAACTGTGCGTCAGCTGATCTAGCAGTTAAATTAATGTCCTTTATCATTTCAGTATTTTTTTGTAACTATCTGAGTACCGTGCCTCCAGCCTTCCTAGAAGTCTGGTTATTTCCCTGAAGAGGAACACTTGTTTTCCAAATCCTCGATTTCACCTTAGGTCACCTAAAGTGTTTACTTTCCAGAAAACAAACGAAGTAACTTCCCGTAACCAAGGGAACAGAACGCTAGGCACTTCCAAAATGGCCGCCCGCGCGGAGGGCGAGGCTGTCTAAGGAAGTCTTATTTCGCATTTCCGGTACCGCCTTTTCCGGCGCCAGCGGCGGCTTCGCGGAAGTGAGCGGCACACGTGCATTCTAGGGGTTTTGGTAGCGATGGATCCTTTGGATAAGGTCTTGTAAGTGTGTGTGGGATGCGATAACATGGGAGGGAGTCTCCGGGACTGGGATGTTTCTTTCCTCTGCCCGGGTCTCTTTCCTGACGCGCTTTGCTAGTCGTTTCGGGGAAGGAGCCTGCTCGGCCGGGTCTCCGGCCCGAGTCTCTGCTGGGGCAGCCTTACAGGCTGACGTCGAGCTGTGGGGTGGAGCGAGGGCCAGAGCCGGGATCGGCTTCTGACCTCGCCACCGGTGGACTCTGAGGTGTGAGAATGGCGTGGACCAGGTTAACAGGTCAGGCCGCGGAATCTGACAATGAACCACCAGGCGACAAGCTGGGCCCAAAGCGTTGTGAGCCTTTAAGCCGCCCTAAGTCAGTTTACCCTGTAAAATACCTATCGTAATAGTCGTGTGTCTTAGAACTGTGGAGAGCGGTGATTGCCACAAGGTACAAAATGTTCGTTCCTTTTCCTTCCAACTTTGTACATTTCTGGTAATCGCTGAGTGATGGTTACTTTTGTTCAAAAATACTGAGTTCCCAAATATTACTGCTTTGTTTCTTACGGTTTTCTGCTGTTTAAGTAAAAGTGTAATGTAAACGACTTTTACATTAATTTCTTTTTAGTCATTAATAGATTTTGTGTACCTCTTATGCTTCCCTAACAAGTAATTGTTTACTGGTTATGAGATTGCAGAAAGACGTGGACTATAGAATGTGTATCGGTTAGCGCTGTATAAACAGTGTACGCCTTGATTCAATTAAAAAAAATGTGCATCTTTACCGACCCGTAAATGATTAACTGACTTCGTGGTTTTATACATGACATTTCTTTGGAGAATTTTTTTATTTTATTTTATCTTGGTTTTTGAAACAAGGGTTTCTCTATGTTGCCCTGGCTCTTCTGGGCTGGCTCTGTGGACCAACCAGGGCTCAAACTCACAAAAATCTGCCTGGCTCTGCCTCCCTCCCGAGTGCTGGGATTAAAGGTGTGTGCTACCACCACCTAGCTAAGTGAGGTTTTTTTTTTTTTAAATGTTGTTTAATGATGGAATCCTACTTGGTAAGTGTGAGTATAATATCTGTTGGATTTCTAGGTTATCAGTCAGGTTGTATTTGTGTCGCACGAGGAAAATGTGTGAATTGTTATGAATTGTGTTTTTTCTTTGAACAGAAAGCCTAAAACAAAAAGGGCTAAGAGATTCCTTGAGAAGAGAGAACCAAAACTCAATGAAAACATTAAGAATGCCATGCTGATTAAAGGTGGAAATGCAAATTCGACCGTGACACAGGTGCTCAAGGATGTGGTAGGTATCTACTTCCAATTTTCAGTTCTGTGTATTTGAAGTAAGTGTGTGTGTGTGGATGATAATGGAGGGATCGGCTGCAGCTGAAGCAACTGGACTTGACTCCTCTGCCTAGCCATCTTTCTAGCCCCACTAACTTGCATCTCACTATGTAGCCCAGCCTGGCTTTGAATATTCTTGTAAAGTAAGATTGACATATTTAGGAACTTTGGGTGTGCTGAGTCCGGCCAGGTGTGATAGGACGGCTGTGTCCTGAGATCTAGCCTTAAAGAAGATCTGAAGTTGGAGGTAAATAGGTAAATGGGAAATGGGAAGTTCTTGATCTTTTAAGGGTGTTTGTAAGGGCACATGAACTTTAGTAGTTCTGAGTGAATTTTCATTTGTTTGGATACCCCCGCCCCCTTGAACAGGGTCTCACCATGTGGCCATGGCTGGAACTTGCTGTTGTAGACTGGGCTGACTTCTGCCTGCTGGGAGCTAGGAGTCCAAGCATGTGCTGCTATGCTTTACCCTTTAATAACTGTTTAAAGTTTGGTTTATAGGCATTTGTTTTTAATTGTGTATGTCTGTATACCATCAATGTGCCTGGTACTCTTTAAGAGTCGTGAAGATGGCTTTATGGCTCCTGGAACTGGAATTACAGACTGTTGTGAGTTACCATGTGTTAGGACTTGAACCTGGGTCCTGTAGAGAGCAGCCAGTGTTCTTAATCAGTGAACCATCTCACCCACCCCTTGGTTATACACATTTGGCTAACTAATTTGGAAGCTGAAATAACTGTTTATCACTGTAAGTTCTCTGAGGAAATCTCATTCTAGTTTCTGAGAATTAGTACAGTAGTCTTATTATTCTTCAACGAGAGCAGAGAAGACACACATTGTTAGGTTTTGTGCTTTAAGCGCTGTTTTGGAGGTGTGCCCAGGGTAGAATGGGAAATAATTAAAAGTCACATGTAGGGGAAGTAGAGGATCAGAAATTCAATCTATACATTGCTGGGACCAGTGTGGGCTAATAAACAAAACAAAACAAATCACACAGGAGGGACCTAAACATAGATGGGCTTCCTAGAAATAATTTGTAGCCTTCATTTTAAAGGAGGAGTTGAAATAAGAGGAGCTTGGGGTTTCCAAGACTGAGGAGAAGAAACGACCAACTTGATGAACCTCAAATCCCTGGGATGGCCAAAGGAAAGTGGACATGAGGCTAGAAGAGGAGACAGGAGTTGTGCAATAATGTGATTTGGAGTTTATTCTGAAGCCTGTCGAGTCACTGAAGTCTTCCTAAAAATATTTTTTGTTTTTTATTTATTTTTTCAGAGTGAGAGGTCTGATCAGTCTTTTGAGGTGTGTGTGGTGCTAGAAATGGAATCCAGGGCTTTGTGTAGGCTAGGCGTGCTGCCACTGAGTTATGCCTATCTATAGCTTATTGGTTTTATAAAAGAGGGTTGAGGGCAAATGCTGTCAGCCTAGAGAAGAGTGTCTGGAGTCTGGTGGTAAGAATGAAATTGACAGCCAGGCATGACAGCGCAAGCCTATAATTCCAGCACTCTGGAGATATAGGCAGGTCAATCTCGTTGAGTTTAAGGGCCGCCTGGTCTCTAAAACACGTTTCAGGACAGCCAGGGAAACAAACAAGTAAATAAGGAATGAAATTGAGAGCTAGTCTGAGGGAATTGAAACAGAGGGCACAGGTGTTGGCATCAGTGAGAACTGTGTTTCTCAGGTTTCTGGCTTCCTTGCCCCACGAGCAGTAATACCAATTTAGAGGGCTAGAAAAATGGCCGAGCAGTTGAGAGCATTGGCTGCTCTTCCAGAGGCCACAGTTTCAAGTCCTGGCACCCACAAGGCAGCTCACAACCACCTGTAACTCCCATTTCCAGGGGATCCAACGTCTTGTCTCAGTGGGCACCAGGTAAGCATGAGGTACACATATGTAGACAAAAATACTCATTTGTATACAATAATCTAGAAATCATGTATTTAGAAAATGTATCTGATAGGGCAGGTTTGGAAGGAAAGATGATAATGTTCTAATTTAAGTAGGTACGATAAAAATTGCTTGTTGGGCTGGCAAGATGGCTCCTCAGGTAAAGATGCTTGCTGTCAAGCCTGACAGTGTCTGGACCTGGCGAGTACTCAAGAAATTGATGAAGGACAGCCACTACATGTGGTGATGTCTGACGAGGACATGGGTATTGTCCTGTGTGTTGCTGATGAAGTCTTGGAATTAAGTCAGCTAAATAACTTAATCCCCCCTTTGAGACAGTGTCTCCTGTGTAGCCCAGATTGGCCTCCAGCTAGCCATCTCTCTACTTCAGCGTTCCCTGTGCTGGACTTGCAAACATGTGCCACCATGCCCAGCTTGAATATATGGGGACCTTTGACTTATTTTTTCTTTCCTTTAAACATGCCAGCTACAGGAGGTGACCTCTGGTCATTGAGCTCGCTGGCAGGCAGCATCCCCACTGAGCCGCATCACTTGCTTTTGTCTCCACCTCCCGAGCCCTGGGGTAACAGTTGGGAGCTGCCATGTCTGTTCTGGATTGCTCATCTGTTTCCGAAATGTTTGTCTGAAATGTCATATTGAGAGGAAACAGCCTCTCTTTTTCCTCTCTTCAGCCTCTCTTCTGCACATTTAAGTAAGTTAGTTCTAAGAGCAGTACAGTATTACAGAATATTTTTAACAGCATTCACGATGGCCATTCTTGGTTTCAGGTTCTTGGTTGGTGACAGTGTTTGTTACACCGAGACAGGGAAACTCCTGGCTGGGTGTTTATTAAACATTGTGGCACGTGCTCGTAACCCCAGAGGTGGAGGCAGAGGCAGGAGGATTGACAGTCAGGCAGCCCAGGCTACATAGTGAGATCCTGCCCCACGCCTGAATTTAAACAACAGATGGCCCGTACCTGTGACTCCAGGGCTTGAGTGACAGGAATCTTCAGGAAGATTGCCTTGCCTTTGCTTTTTGAATGTTCACTTGAGAAAGTTTAAAATTATGTTTTACAGTATGCACTGAAGAAACCATATGGAGTTCTATATAAAAAGTAAGTTTTTAAGTAATTATTACTTATTTGCTTTGTTGTAAAAGTAACGATTGTTTTATAGAAGGTTTGGAAGAAAAAGGTGTAGGTATTTGCCCTGAATGAATGAGTATTCTTCTTATTTTATTTATTTATTTACCTATTCATTTATCTACCTATTTATTTACTTATCTATCTATCTATCTATCTATCTATCTATCTATCTATCTATCTATCTACCTATCTATCTATCTATTTATTTATTGAGGCAGGGTTTCTCAGCGTAGCCCTTCCTGACCTTGAACTCAGAGATCACCTGCATCTGTCTCCTGATGCTGGGAATAAAGGCATGTGACGCCGTGTCTGGCTCAGAGTATTTGCAGAACTGTAATATGCACATACCTTATTCTGAAATAATTAACATATGCAGGGGAAGATTGTAAGAATGGTTGGAGTTCTTGTACGTCCTTCACGGAGCTCTCCCACGGTTGCGGCTTGCATCTATCATAGTGCAGCTGTTCTAACTAGGCAATTGCATTGCTTGGGAATTGAAATAAATTATTGATTTATGTTGGCTCTTTTCTCTTTCTAGTTTCCATGTTGCCTTTTTAGTTGTGTTTCCCTAGTGCTGATTTTTTTACTTCTTGGCAGTATTGGGGATTAGACCCATGGCCTTGTCCATGCTGGCCAAGTGCTCTGCTACTTAGACCCCAGTCACCACCTTCCATTGTTGGTGTGTGTGTGACGTGCATGTGTGGTAGCTCATGTCCTATGGTGCAGTAGGTCAGAGGTCAACTCCTAGGGGTCAGTTTCCCTTCTACCTTTAGGTGGGTTCTAGAGCTTGAAGTCAGGCTGTTAGGTGTTCGAGGCAAGTGCTTACCTGTTGAGCTATCTTGCTGGCCCCACCCTTTGTCTTCTTAAATTTGTGAAAGTCTTTGGTGGCTTTGTCTCTGGTTTTTCCATAAAGATACTTTGAGACTATGGAAATACCATCATCCCTCATTGTTTCTTGGGAAGCAGATCTAGGACTTCCCTGGAATGTACAAGTCTGTTGCTGCTCCAGTCCTGAGAGTGTAAAGTAGTCTGATAACCTCTGCACAGCTTTCTGCACACCTTCAGTTGTCTTGGTGTAAATTCTGGGTACACAGTTGTGCTGTATTGTTTATGGAATAAGAAGAAACCAAAATGTTCCAGTGTCCAGATGCACTTGTCGCCATCCTGGTTCCTTCCCACCCCAGTATTTTTTATGAACAATTGGCGTGAATCTGTGGATACTAAACTCACAAGTTCTGAGGGCTGTGTCTCCTTTCTTTCTAGAAACTCAGCTGTTACTGTCTCCATGTGATCTGTGTGTGGAGTCAGGGTCATTGTGCTGGTCTCTTTCTGCTTGGAATTCTGTAGAGAAAAGTTGTCTCTCCCTCTGTTTTTCAATAGTTACTTAAGTCAGTGTGGGGTCAGCATACTCTTGAGGGTTCTAATACAGTGCTGTTATTTGACCACAGCACACAATGAGCTTTTAATACTATTAAAAAGAAAAGGTAAGGCACGGGAGAGGTGGCTCAGCAGTTAAGAACGCACACTGCTCTTATGGGGGCCTGAGTTTGAGTCTTAGCCCCCATGTCAGGCAGCTTACATCTGCCTGTAACTCCAGCCATCACAAGCATCTGCCCTTACATATAAATACACTACAGAAACAACATAAATAATGCCTAAAACAAATGAAGTCTTAACACATCACACTTTTTCAGTATTCTTTCTGTATATAGTCTGCATCCTATTACTGATAAAGTTGTTTGTTTAGTCTTGGTTTTTAGGGTTGTTTTGTTTTGTTTTTTGAGACAAGGTTTCATATAGTCCAGGCTGGCCTTTTAACTCCTGATCTTTTGCTTTACTCCCAGGTATTAAGGCTTGCCCAGCCTTAGTCTTCACACCGCTGTCGACTTTGCTCACTCAGTTCCAGCAGCACTTGCCTGCTTTTTTTTTTTTTTTTTTTTTAAATAATCTAAACTTCTCTGTCTCAGTATCTTTGCCCTTTTCTCAGGGAGTACTAGAGATGAGCTCCAAGGCCCAGCACATGCTAGTCAGGCCATCTACTGCTGAGCTAGTAATTCCTTTGCATGTTCTGCTCCCAATTAGGATGATCTTTCCTAAACTTTTATTTTATTTTGTTTGTGTGTTATGTGTCTGCAAGTGTGTTTGCTCATGTGCCTATGAAGGCCTACCTAGGCCAGGGGAACCCATTAGATCCCATACAGCTGAGGTGAGCTGCCTGAACTCAGATCTTCTGTAAGAACAACAAGCACCCTAAACCCATTGTCCCAGCTCAACACTTAGAATAATCTTTTTGTTTTTTGAGTCAGGGTTTCTCTGTGTAGCCCTGGCTGTCCTAGAATTTGCTCTGTAGTCTAAGCTGGCCTCAAACTCGGAGATCCACCTGCCTCTGCCTCCACCTCTGAGTACTGGGATTAAAGCATGTGCCACCACTGCTTGATAAGAATAATCTTAATCTCAGACCCTTTTCTATGGCAAGTTCTTTAATCAGGTCTTCAGGTCTCAGCCTAAACAATTCTTATATTCTTTATGCTAATGTTTTTTTTGTTTTTTGAGTCAGGGTTTCTCTGTATAGCCGTGGCTGCCCTGGACTCCCTTTGTAGACTAGTCTGGCCTGGAACTCACAGTAATCCCCATTACTCTGCTGGGATTAAAGGCATGCGCCAACATGCTCAGTTTATCATATTTTATTTTTTAGCACAATAGTCACTGCTTTTTGTTTGTTTGTTTGTTTGTTGCTGCTTGTGTGTTTCAGATAGCGTTTCTCTATGTAGCCCTGGCTGTTCTGGAACTTGCTCTGTAGAACAGGCTGGCCTCAAACTCAGATTTACCTGCCTCTGCTTCTTGAGTGCTGTGATTAAAGATGATAGTTGTTTTAATTTTATGTTTTTGGGTGTTGTCCTGGGATTGGAGTTATAGATGCTTGTGAGCTGCCAGGTGTGTGCTGAGAGTTGAACCCAGTTTCTCTGAAAGAGCAGCCAGTGCTCTTTTTTTATTTTTTTTTTCAACAACTTAACTTTATTTTTTATAATTTATTCACTATAACCTGATTGTAGCTCCCTCCATCATCTCTTCCCGGCCCCACTCTTCTTCCTTCTTCCCCCCATTCTCCTCCCCTATTTCTCAGAAAGGAGGAGCCCTCCTCCCCTCCCATCTGACCCCAGCCTGTCAATTCTCATTAGGACTTCCTGCATCCTCTTCCTCTGTGGCCTGACAAGGCCTCCCCACCAGAGGGAAGTGATCAAAGAACGGGCAACAGAGTTCATGTCAGAGACAGCCCCTGCTCCCCTTACTAGGGAACCCATGTGGAGACTGAGCTGCCTATTGGCTGTACATCTGAGCAAGAGGTCTAGAACCTCTTCAGGCATGGTCCTTGGTTGGTGCATCAGTCTCTACAGGCCCCCTGGGCCCAGATTTGTTGGCTCTGTTGGTCTCCTTGTAGAGCTCCTGCCCGCTCTGGCAGCCAGAGCCAGTGGTCTGAACCACTGAACCATCTCTCCCGTACCCCCTCCTCCTCCTGGGTATTGTATATCGGGAAAGGGTCTTGTTCTACAGCCCTGGCTTGTCTGGAGCTCATAAGTAGCTACCTACCTCTACTTCCCAAATGGGGGATTAATGGTGTGTACCACTGTGTCCTACTGTTTTAATCATTTGAATATAAACTTAACTTTTATTCAGCATATCATTTAACTGAATGTACTTACTAAATTAAAACTAGTCACTCTTTTTTAATCTTAGGAAAAACATTACAAGACCATTTGAGGATCAGACATCACTGGTAAGTACAGGAATCTCTCCTCTTTAAGAGAGCACAGATGGGGTCTGGAGAGGTGGCTCAGCCATCTCAGCCGTTACAGGCTAGGCTCACAACCAAAAGTATAAGGGAGCACATATGGGCAGGGCTGGTGTGTGGCTGGTACTGTGGTGAGTGGTAGCAGTACTGGGCATGCTTGCCTACCATGCCCAAGGACCTGGGTTTTATACCACCACTCAAAACTGTGTAAAAATGACTCCAGACTAACTCATGCTCAACTCCTAATTTTTTATCTTTTCTTTATAAATTAGAAATCTTATATATGAGAGTTTTGATATTCAGACTGAGAAATACTTTTTACAAACATTTTAATTGTGCGTGTATGTATATATGTATATACACACACACACACACACACACATATATACACATACACACACATATGTATGTGTGTGGGTGCATGTGTTTGTTCATGAGTGTGTATTCTAGCCTTCTATTCTGTGGGTTTGGAGTAAACTCAGGTTACCAGGCTGTCCTGAAGCTATGTAGGCCAAGCTGGACTTAAATTCCACCTGCCTCTGCTGGGTGGCATTGCCCTACCACACCTGGCCTGGTCTTTGGTTTCTGAGAAAGGGACACATGTATTCCACGGTAGTTTGAAATCTCTAAGGACTACATACAGAGTTTGAACTTCTGATCCTTCCGCCTCCACCTTCAGAGCTGGGCTTACAGGCATGACCACCATCACTGTTTATGCAATGCTGGGATAGAACCAAGGGCTTTGTACATACCTGGCAAGGACTGTCCTAACTGAGCCCTCCGGGTCATTTTTATGAAGAAGAGTCTGATGGAAACTATGATGACATTGGGTATGAAGAAAAAATGAGAGGAAAGGCAATTGGGCTTTCTTCTATATTGAGGGAATTAAAAAAATCAGGAAGATGAGGATGAAGGGCTTTCTGTATAAAATGGATGAAGATGACAATGATGTTGGTCTCTGAAAACATACTTTTTTTCTTTTTTGTTTTGTTTGTTTTTTGAAACAGTGTCTCATGTACCTTAACTGGTATAGCAAAGGCTGGCCTTGAAGTCCTGTCTCCTGGCCTCTAAGTGCTGGAATGACAGGTGTGTGCCACTATGCTTAGTTTGATTACATTTTTTTCTTTTTTCTTTTTCTTTTTATTAATTACACTTTATTCACTTTGTATCCCCCCATAAGCCCTTCCTCCTCCCCTCCCTTGATTACATTTTTAAGGTTTACTAAACTTCAAACTTTTATTAAACACCGGATGTCTGAATACCTAATATGTGCTCATCTCTTGAGGAGGGGGTTTCATGAAACCCAGGTGTCCTCAGACTTGGTCTCTAGAGGATGACCTTGAATCTGTGGTCCTTCTTCCTCTACTTTGCAAGTAGTGGCATTAAAGGGAAGCCACTGCACACATGACAGTGTGGTACAGAGCACATTTTAAGACTCAGTTCTCACTGAGTTAGCTCACAGTATATTTTTAAAGAGTTATTACTTTTAATTACATGTGTATGTGTGTGTGAGTCTGTGCCCATGAGTGCCCATGTATGCAGAGCCTGGAAGTGTTGGGTCCTCTGGAGATGCAGTCACAGGTAGTTATAAACTACCAGTGAGAGTGCCATGAATTGAATTCAAGTCCTTCCGAAAAGCAGGACTGATGAGCCATAAATATCTTTGAGTATTTCTGTATAGAGTGCCATCACATGACATCTCATATCTGATAAATTAAGTCTTAGAAAAGTTAATTTGTCTAGGACATAGTAAGGTTCACAGCCTGAATTCATTCTTTCTTTCTTTCTTTCTTTCTTTCTTTCTTTCTTTCTTTCTTTCTTTCTTTCTTTCTCTCTCTCTCTCTCTCTCTTTATCTTTTCCTTCCTTCCTTCCTTCCTTCCTTCCTTCCTTCCTTCCTTCCTTCCTTCCTTCCTTCCTTCCTTCCTTCTCTTAAAAAGATCTTTTCTTTTTTTTTACATTTATTTACTTTTATTTCGTGCGCATTGGTGCTTTCCCTGCATGTATGTCTATGTGAGAGTGTCAGATCTTGAAGTTACAGACAGTTAACAGTTAAGCTGCTGTGTGGATGCTGGGATTTGAACCTGGGTCCCCTGGAAAAGCAGTCAGTGACCTTAACCACTGAGCCATCTCTCCAGCCCCCCTCTCTTTTTCTTTGTTTGTTTGTTTGTTTGTTTGTTTGTTTTTTAAGACAGGGTTTCTCTGTGTAGCTTTGGCTGTCCTGGACTCTTTGTAGACCAGGCTGGCCTCAAACTCACAGTGATCCGCCTGCCTCTGCCTCCCTGAGTGATGGCATATTAGCTTAGTGGTTTCCTTTTCTTTTTCTTTTTTTTTTTTTTTTTTGATTAGAGTCTCTGTGTAGCCTCTGGCTGACCTGGAACTCACTCTGTAGACTAGGCTGGTCTCGAACTCACAGAGTTCTGCCTGCCTCTGCCTCTCGGGGTTAGGGTTAAGGTTAGGAGTGCCGGGATTAAAGGTCTGCACCACCATAGCCTGTCCAGCCTGAATTCTTGACTTTTCCAACTCCTTTCTTCAGGTGTGGGCAGGTGTGGCTCTTTGCCTTGATTGCTTCTGCATGGAAACTTAGCGAATGATCATCAGATCAGGCTCACCCCTCAGAGTAGTAACCAGTGTGTGTGGCCTGGGGTGGGTGTAGGGGGCTGACATGAGAGCTTATGGAGTGTCTCTGTCTTACCTGTTCTTTGTTGATCTTTTTCATTAATTTTGAAGATTTTTCTAGCTGATTTTGGACTAGAACACATTGACTCTAAGTTGTGTGTGTGTGTGTGTGCTGTGCAGGTGATGTTTGTGCTGTGCAGGTGATGTTTGTGCAGGTACACCAGAGGTTGATCAGGAGTCTTTCACCTTCCACCTTTTTAGACAGGTCTTTCACTGAACCTGAGGCTTAATTTTGGCCTAGAGTGGCTAGTTAGTGGACCCCAGGATTGCATGTCTCTACTGTCCTGGTGCTGGGTTTCCAGATCTGTGCTGCCATACTTGGCTTTTGAGTCTAATTTTAAAGTTAGTAATACTGACTTCGGAAAGTTGAGCCAACTGTGTGGAATGTAGAATAGAGGCATGGGGCTGTCTAGGATTAAAACTTCACATTTCTGTTCATTGCAAATCTGTAATGAAAGCCACTACATGCTGCTTATACTGGAAAATCACAGCTCTGTCAGGCAGTCCCAGCCAGACACATGACATGGAACTAATTCAGCGTTGCTCTGAGAGCCTAGAGCCACTTCCTTGTTTGGTTGCAGTTTGCTGTGAAAAGTAGCAACGTGCATTAAAAACTTGTGAGCCCAGTTACAAATACGGGAAGCCAGCATGTTGATAGATTCCTGTGACTCATCTGTGCATGCTGAGGTGTGTGCTGATGATGGTGATGACGTCAGTAAATGAAGCACCTGGTGTGCTACTCAGATGACTGCATGACTGAAGTGAGTGGTCTTTCATATGCTAGCTTAGTGGCTGTCATGTGTGTATCATCTTGAAATGTGGATCTTTTAACTAAGTCACTCAAATTAGAAAATTGAATTTAAAAGCTAAAATAATATTAAGAACATTTTTGTGTGTGAGTGTTTTGCCCGTCTGCATGTGTTTGCAGCACACGTGTCTAGTGTCTTAGAGGTCAGAAGAGTGAAGGGTGATTGTGAACCACCATGTGGGTGCTGGGAACTGAACCTGGTCCTCCACACGAGCAACAAGCGCCCTTAACCGCTAAGCCATCCCTCCAGCCTCTCTTCTGTGTATTCTTAATTTGGCTCATTACACCTTCATCAGCTTCTGTTGGGAGAGGGCAAGGGAGACCCCTGATATCCTTCATAAGCCTAAAGGAAGGATTGGCTTCCTTTGTTTGGAGGCCAATTGTGTGGAGACGGGCTCTTACTCTGTAGTCTTGGCTGGCCTCTTTACAGCAGTGCTTCTGCCTCAGCCTTCCAGGTGCATGAATCCCCAGAGCAGGCCTGGCTAAGATTAAGAGGTCTTCTTCTTTTTAATAGGAGTTCTTTTCAAAGAAGTCAGACTGTTCGTTATTCATGTTTGGCTCCCATAATAAGAAGAGGCCAAATAATCTAGTAATAGGTGAGTATCGTTTGTTTGTTTGTTTGTTTGTTTGAGACAAGGTCTTACTATGTAGCTCTGACAGGCTTACTAAACTCAGGGGGATCCTCCTGCCTCTGAGTGCTGGAATTAATGGCATGTGCCACCACTCTTTAATGTTTTTATTTATAGAGTCAGCTTTGTGACTCACATTTACTGATATTTTCAGGATTTACAAGCAACTAATAAACCTCAAAGTAATTTCTGTTGCTGCTGTAGCCTTGCTACAGTGGGTAAATTTCTTTGGACTGGGTATGAAAGCTAGGTTTGAAATCCCAGCCTCATCACAGCAACTTTCTACCCACTAGTGACATCAGTATGACCCTGACAGCCCAGGGACATCAGAAAGAATGCTAGGTTAGTCACCTCAAAACACCATTGCTAACATCTTTGGAGAGCAGTTCTGGCTTTTAAACAGGAAGTGTGGGTTCATTTATTTATCTGTTGTATGTGTGTGTTAATGTATGTGTAAACCACATCAAATAACAGGCAGTCATGACATGGGTGCTGGGAACCAAACTCAGGTCTTCTGGAGGAGCAGGAAGTATGATTACCCACTAGGCCATCTTTCCAGCCTGATAGAGAGTTTCTGTTTAACATGCTCAGTCCTAGGCAACCCCTTTACCCACTGTGGTCTTGAGGGTGGATGTTTTTGTTAAGGTTTCATCCCAAGTCCAGTGCATGTTGGACACTCCTGGTATCGCTGAACTACACTTCTTTTTATTTTATTTAATTATTTTTGAGTAGAATCTATCTGTCTACCCCCCAGGTCTGCGACTTGCCATAGCCCAGGCTGGTCCATCCTTCTGCCTCCCTAGTGCTGGGATTGTAGGAGCTCTCTGCCATACTCAGCTCCCCACTTCTGTTAAATAAAGGGATTAGGCCCACTGTGAGAGCGAAGATCTTTACCGTGACTGATACCCTAACAACACCACTAAGTAGATGTCAGAGTTTCAGAAGGGAGTGGGTGAGTTTGGAGAGTTAGAGAAGACACAGGTAATTTGGGGCTATAGGTCATATAGGTGATGAAAATCTGTGCTTAAAAATGTATTTCCTTTTAGGTCGTATGTATGACTACCATGTGCTGGATATGATTGAACTAGGTATTGAGAAATTTGTGTCTTTAAAAGATATTAAGGTAAGAAACTGATCATAAAATTAAATAGCATTTTAATAATGTTTTTGACTAATATTGGCATCTTGTGATAAAGAAGTACTGACAGAATTTTAAGAAAAAGAACCCCATGCAGAAATACAATTCGACTTCTATTTCTAAAGAGAAATCTAAGCTGGGCAGGGGTGGTGCACACCTTTAATCATAGCACTCAGGAGGCAGAGGCAGGTGGATCTCAGAGTTTGAGGCCAGCCTGGTCTACAGAACAAGTTACAGGATAGCCAGGGCTACACAGAGAAACCCTGCCTCAAACAAATAACAACTCAAAAACAAATAGCAAAAACCAAAACAGAAGAGGAATGTATTTATAACTTACAGTACTTGTGGCTCTCATAAGGTTAAGCTTGAGAGTGTACTGACCAGTTCTTGGTTGGGCTTATGGTTTAAATGCTGTCTCTTTCCTAAGTGATAACAGCATTTATAGACAATTCAAAGTTTTCTAGCTGAGCACTGTTTAGGTGACCTCTGGCTTCCCCTGTATTATTTTGTCTGTTAGCTATCAAGTAACTAGCATAAGCCCAGTATGGGAACATGCAATGTACAGACTTTGAATGGGATTATGAAATAGGAAGTAGCAAAGTATGGCAAATAGCCTTAGAAAGTCAAGAAGAGTATCTTGCTTTAGATTGTTCCATCAAATACATGATTTCATTTACATCTTACAGGTGTGAGAACATGGTAGTTTTTCCTGGCTGGTGGGGTTTTTGTTTGTTGGTTTTTGAGACAGGGCTTACTCTAAGTTTTGGCTGTCCTGGAACTTCCTTTGTAGACCAGGTTGGTCTTGAACTCAGAAACTGGCTTTCTTCTGCCATCCAAATTGGGATCAAAGGCATTCACCATCACAACAGGCACAGTTTTCCATTTCCATTGTTTCACCTTAGAGTCATACATATGGTAGATAAAACTCAAGATTAGAGTTTAAGAGTTTAAGATTAGAATTAAGAGAGACTAATATTGTTATGTGTAATAGAAAGATATTTAACTTAGTGGCGGTTTTGTGGGTTGTTTTGTTTGATGTAGGGTTTTAAATAACCCAGGCTCCTCAGACTTGGTGTGTAACCAAGACTGAGTTTGAACTTTGGTTTTTCCTGTTTCTGCTTCCCCAACATGCTGGGATCACAGGCATGTCCCACTGCGCCCAGCTGTGCCCAGTGGGCGACTGAGGCCCATGGATGGTGAATTTATAGTAACTGTGTACTGCTCATTTCTTCAGCTGTCCTCTAAAAAGGGCCAGATCTTGATGGCTTAGTAAAATGACTAGATATTTTTATCCTGTAGGTTGAAAAAGGTTTTTACCAGCTCCCTCTGTAAGCCCAGCTCCCTTAGGTTCAGGGGAAACAGTGGCCTCACATTAGACCTGTGGGTTCAAGGCATGTCTTGCCATTTCAGTGACACTGTGATTTATCAAATCAGTGATTTTCTTGATTCTCAATTGTGGATGTAGCAACAATTAATGAGATAGTATGTGTGAAAATGTTGAGGTTATTTTAACACATCGTGGTTATCTTTAAAAGTCATAAATTCTTTAGATTTTTTAAAAATTATGTAATCACAGTTTTTTTTGTTTTGTTCTGTTTTTAATCTCATAGACTAGTAAGTGCCCTGAGGGAACAAAACCCATGTTGATATTTGCTGGTGATGATTTTGATATGACAGAAGACTATAGAAGATTAAAAAATCTTCTTATTGGTAAGTGCGACTGGAACTCATTAGCAGTTTTTCAGCTGCTTTGAGACTGCTTTTTCTGTAAGATTAAACAGTGCACATTCTTTCCCTCACCAAACTGTACAGTTCTCACATCTTTATGCTCCACTCTGTGTTTCTGCTCCTCTGGAAAGATGCATGAGTAATGGGGTTTCTGTTTTTCATTTTTTGTTTTGTTTGGTTTGGTTTTTTGAAGCATGGTTTCTTTGTGTAGTCGTGGCTGTCCTGGAAGTCTGCTTTGTAGACCATGCTGGCCTTGAACTCAGAGAACTAACTTCCTGTGCCTCTTGAGTACAGGGATTAAAAGGGTGTTCCACTACCCCTAGAGTTCTCTTGTCTTAAAACTTCTTCCACCAAGCAAATTAGTCCTCTGCCATCCTCAGCCCTACTTGGGTCTCGGGACAGGCAGAGAACAGCGAGACGACTTGCCAGGTTACCACAGCAGTGCCCTCCAGCTCCCGGAACAGCCAATGCTCCTGCTGACAGCTCCTGAACCTGACTCCCTTGGCTTTTTCTCTTGGTGCTTTGGTCTTCTAAACTCGTTCTAGAATGGCCCAGTAAGCCCTGTGTACAGTGCTGTAGGGCTCTTGTAGCCAGGCCCGCCCTCTTCCACATTTCCTCCTGCAGCTCCATCTCTGGTCAGGATGATTTTCTCTGTCTTCTGAGTGCTGGGATTTCAAGCTTGCACCACTATGCCCAGCCCCGTCTGTGATTTTCCTAGCAGGAATAACTCGTTATCTCCGAGTTAATGGGATTGCCAGACTTTGTAGGTGCGTTTTTAAAAAAAAAAAAAAAAATTATTACATTCTTATTTATTTGTGTGTGAGGCCTGGGGCATTCTAATGCCTAAGTTGTTTCTGTCCACTATATGGGTCCCAAGAATTGAACTCAGGCTGTCTGGCTTGGTCGCAAGCACTCTAATTGCTGAGCCGTGTTGACAGCCCTGGTGAGTTTTTGGTGCTATAGTAGTCTTCATGTAGTGTTCAGCAGCTCCTCTGATGCCATTACTAGCATGGTTAGAGTAAATTTAGAAATCTGTGGTCAGTTAAAATTTAAGATTGCAAACTGTCATTAACTCTGAAACCCCAAAGTTTTTGTACATAAGGCCCTTCATAATATAAGTACTATATAACATGCTTTAAAATTTTTACCTCATTAGCACAGTGGGTAGTGAGTTAGCTCTTCATGACATTTTTATAATATTTAGTATCATTTTAGAAATTATTATTTTATATAATTTGGGTATTTTGTCTGCCTGTATGTCTGTGCATTATTACCATGTCTCGTGCTGGTGGAGGCCAGAGAGGGCATCAGATCCCTTAGGACTGGAATTACAGGAAGATCTGAGCCACCATGCAGGTGGTGGGCATCAAACCCAGATCCTCTGGAAGAGTTAATGGTCTTACTATAGGGCCATTTCTCCACGCCCTCAATTTCTTCTTTAAAGAGAGTTAATTTTTTGAAAATATGTTGCAGCCTGGTGGTGCCACTTGTCTTAGGAGGCAGAGGCAGTTGGATCTGAGTTTGAGGCCAGTCTGGTCTACAGAGTGAGTTCCAGGACAGCCAAGGTTACACAGAAACCCTGTCTTGAAAAACAAAAAGTAGGAGCTGGAGAGATGGCTCAGAAGTTAAGAGCAGAGGTCCTAAGTTTAATTCCTAGGAACCACAGGGTGGCTCACAGCCATCTATAATGAGATCTGGTGCCCTTTTCTGGCCTACAGGCAGAACACTGTATACATAATAAATAAATCTTTATAAAAAAAGAAAAAAGCAAGCAAGACAGATAGGAAAGAAAGTTAGTTACAAACATTCCTCTTGTGTTTTCTTAGAGCCATTCTGTGTGTGTTGGTTGGTCTGTTGGTTTGGGCAGCCTCTTGTATAGCTCAAGCTGGCCTTGCGCTCCCTGCTTGTGCTTTAGAGCTCCCCGAGGAAGGCTGTCGACCCCAGCCAGCTTCATTTTTTTTTTTTTTTTTAAGATTTATTTATTATTTGTACAATATTCTACCTGCTTGTGAGCCAGCAGTCCAGAAAAGGGCACCAGATCTCACTATAGGTGGTTATGAGCCACCATGTGATTGCCGGGAATTGAACTTAGGACCTTTGGAAGAACAGCCAGTTCTCATTAACCCCTGAGCCACCTCTCCAGCCCACCAGCTTCATTCTTACTACGCAGTTTCTACCACTCTTGCAAAGTTCTTTTCTAGGAAACCCTTTGTGAATTCTTCCCAGCTCCTTCATATTGTTAGGTGCTAAGTATTTACTGTCACTTTATATTGGGGACTTTGGCCACAGCAGCCCTAAGGTCATCCAAGGCTGGTTTTTTTACCCCCTTTTGGGGGCTCAGGTCCTTGTGCTCTGCCTCTGTACTACATTCCTTATAGAGGACTTTACTCTTAGTGAGCAATGCTAGTTCTTTTGTTTTTGGTTGGTTTTGTTAAATTGGTCTCTCTGTGTAGCCCTGGCTGGCCTGGAACTTGCTTTGTAGACCAGTCTGGCCTTGAACTCACAGAGCTCTTTTTGCCTCTGCCTCCTGAGTGCAGGGAGTAAAGGTATATGCTACCATGCCTGACTATAAGTCACCTTTTAAATTTGAAATAGTTACTGACTTCATTAATTCTTCTTTTTGAAAAGCTGCCAGTATTATTCTGTCAAAAGGTTATACAAATCTTAGTATTGTTGTTTGATTTGTGACTAGAAACAATTTAAGTTGTTCAAGTGGTTTGAACTAACTCAGGTCTGCAGGAGGATCAGCTGAGGGCCATTCTTAAGTATATACTGAGTTGGAGTTAGGCTGGTCTACATGAAACTGTCTCAAAAACAAAACAGAACAAAATGGGCTGGAGAGATGGCTCTGTGGTTTGGACCACTGTCTGCTTTTGTAGAAGACCAAGGTTTCTCAGTACAGGTGGTTTCTCAGTACCCCACATGGTGACTCAGAACCACCTGTAACCTGTTCCAGGGGATCTCATACTCTCTCTGGCCTCCATATGCTTGCGGAACACAAAAATATATGTAGGCAAACACTCATGCATAGAAAGTAAAGGTATGATGATGTGCCTTTAATCCTGGCACTTGGGAAGCAGAGGCAGGTGATCTAGGTTTTAGACCAGCCTCATCGATACATGTAGCCAAGGCTACAAACAGACAGACACCTTATCTCTCAAATAAACAAACACAGCTGTTGGTGTCTGCCATGCATTCACAAGGCCTTGGGTTCAATGCCATACCACAAAGTTTTCAAAGAGAAGAAAATGGTGTTTCTTTTTCCTTCCTTGTTAAGATGATCACTCTGGTGCTTTCATTCACGGCATAGCACTTCACTTCCCTTTTGATAGATAGTCTTGTGATCTATTTCTGGTGCTCAGCACTTTCTTAAATTTTAATACTGTGTTTCATTCAAGGTTAAACTACCTGTAAGTGTGTGTGTGCCTGTGTGTCTCACTTAGCTTGATAACGGTTGCATTCATAAGCATAGGTAGTGGTGGTGGGAGGCAGGTTACCAGTGGCGACAGCTACACCATTGACGAAAATAACTCCTGGTGGTTTGTGACCTCATTAGCTGCCCCCGTGTCTTAGTTTCATTGCTGTTGCTGGGATAAAACACCAACCCACAGCAGCTTGGGAAGGAAAGGGTTCATTTGGCTTACATACCCTGGTCTCAGTCCTTGGAGTGAAGATAGGCAGGAACGGAAATAGAAACATCCATGGAGGAATGCCTCTTGCTGGCTTGCTCCTCACTGCTCGCTCAGCCTGCTTTGATACACAACCCAGGACTACCTGCCCTGGTGTGGCACCTGGTGCAGGAATCAGGTGCAGGTTCAGCTCGAATGTGCAGCAGCCACGTCCTGCCTAGAAGGCAGAGTTACAGAACATTCCTCTCCTTCCTGCTCTTTCAGTCTTTCTGCCACCTCTTTACTTCCCTTGGACGGCCCATTTAAAGCCGAGCATTCAACAATTGGTTTCATTGCTTGGACCAGTTATGAGTCTGCAGAACTGCCCAGTGCAAACAAACTGACAGCACCACTAATTTGTGGGTATAAATATAAATCCTTAAAAGGCAGTTGGACAGGAATAGCATGTCCAGTTAGCTAAACATCAGCAGTTGCACTCTCTCCAGGGCATATGACCTCCCCAGCCATAGGCTTTTGACAAGATTCATAGTTTGAGGTGTGAATTTTTTCCTGCAGAGGGGCCTCAAATCGGACAGAAAACAAGTTGGTTGCACTCAGCAGTCATGCCACAGTTGCACCAGCAAGTACATCTTGCTCTGCCGGTCAGTAGTGTATAGCATGACTGTAGCTGAGGTTTAGTTTGGTTTGGTATTGGTTTTGATTTTTTAAGACAGAGTTTCTCTTTGTAGCCTTGGCTGTCCTGGACCTGCTTTGTAGACCAGGCTAGCCCCAAACTCACAGAGATCTGTCTGCCTCTGCCTCCCCAAGTGCTGGGATTTAAGGTACGAGGTACCACCAGTGAGGTAAAACTTAGTTACTTATTTTACGTATGAGTGCTCTGTCTGCATGTACACCCGCAAGCCAGAAGAGGAGGGCATCAGATCCCAGTATAGATGGTTGTGAGCCACCATGTTGTTGCCAGGAATTGAACTCAGGACCTCTGGAAGAGCAGACAGTGCTCTTAACCCCTGAGCCATCTCTCCAGCCCTGAGTTAAAACTCTTGATGTCTGGAAGAGCAGACAGTGCTCTTAACCCCTGAGCCATCTCTCCAGCCCTGAGTTAAAACTCTTGATGTCAGTGTTCCCCAGCTGCCAGTATAGCTAGCCAGCAGGGAACAAATTTTCACCTTGATTTCTCGATGTCCTGCAACTAAAGCTTGTGTCTTCAGCAGTGAGGCTTTATGTAGCTCTGGTGGGCAGCTAATAGCAGTGGCAGTAGCCTGTATTACCTGGGGTGAGGAAATATTTTTAACTCTGTGTTCTTTACCCTAGGCATATTTGAAAAGTTGGTGGCATATAAATCGTGTACTTACTTGACTTTAAAAATCTGAGGTCATCAAAGGATATTTGAGATAGACATGTTGCGCCTTTCAGATTTCTTTGTGATTATTTTACTCTTATTACTGGGATTATAACTTTCAGAGCATCTCAGTCTTAATAGTGACTTTTTATTATTTTTGTTGGGCTGAGAATTGAACCCCAGAGCCTGATGCCAGCTAGGCAAATGCTCCACCCCGCACTATCCTCAGACCTTATGTTTCTTTGTATGTCTGTGTCTGTGTGTACACCACAGCACATATCAGAAGGTCAGAAGACAACTTTGTGGAGTTGGTTCTCTCCTTGCATTCTTACATAGGTTCTAGAAACAGAAGTCACTTCCTCAGGCTTCCGAAGCCAGCACCTTTACCCACTGAGCCATCTCACCTGCCCTTTTTGGTTATTTGAGACGTGATCTCACTCTGTACCTCAAAGTAGCCTAAAACTCAATACAAAACCCATGCGGGCCTTGAACTTGTAGCAGTACTTCTGTCTCAGCTTTCTAAGTGCTGGGATTATAGGCAGAGGCACCATACCCAGCTGAAGAGTATTTTGAGGAGGGTCTTGCAGTGTATCTCGGGCTGGCTTCAAACTGGCAGTGCCATCTTCTTCCCAGTCTTGAGTTTGAGGGGTATAGCCTTGTTCTGTCATTCATGGCTTTGTGTCGCCTTCCTTTCTGTTTCCTTTTTCTTTTCTTTTCTTTCTTGGGTTTTAGTTTTATAGACAGGGTTTTTCTGTGTAGTTAATCCTGGCTGACCTGGAACTCTGCCTCTGCCTGCTAAGTGATGGGATTAAAGGCATGCACCACCACCTGGCTCTTTTTTTCTTTGTATGGGTGTGATCATGTATGTTTGTGTGTGTGTGTGTGTGTTTTGAAATGAGCTTTGTAGCCCAGCCTGGTACCGGTGTGCAACAGTCCTCTTACCTCTGCCTCCTAAGTGCTGGGATTGCACAGAATTATAAATAAGTACTACCACACTAGGATTAAGTAGATTTATAAATTTAATTTCCCATTATTTTGTATTCCCACTAGAAGGCGTAACCAAGGGAAGGAAGTGAAACATGAAAAGAAATTTTGGGCCAGAAGCAGAAGGGTGAAAGAGGAATGCAGTGAGAATGTTGTTGGTCATCAGGGGAAGTAATAAGTGAGGCCACTGGTTAGTTTATGTTTTCTTTCTTTCTTTTTTTTTTTTTTTTTTTTTTTTTTTCAAATGAACTACAGTAACAGCAGCCCTATACTTTGGATAGTGTCATTACAATTCCCTCAAGGTTTGAACACCATGTTTACCCAGCAAAATGGCTATGACGTCACTAGGTGGTGTGGCCCTAAGTGTGTGCTTGTGCAGTGTGTGACAGGAAGGTGAGTCAGCAGGGAGAAGATTGCCAGAGAACTGCCTCCTCCTGCAGAGTCCTTTTCCGGTCTCGTAGGCGTAGCACAGTGAATGTACTGGGAAATACTTGTTTGCTCTTCTCACTGCGGTTCCGGGGGTGAATACAAGCCTTCTGCCGTCGGATTGTATCCCAATCTATACAGTTGCTCTTCTTGAAAAGCAAAGTGTATTATTGTTTGTGTGATGTGCATGCACATCTGCATGTGGCAGTCTAAGGACAGCTTTGTGGAGTTGACTCTCCTTCCATGTTCATGTGGGTCTCCAGGTTTGCATGACAGGCTGTCTGCTCACTGAGCCGTCTAACCTACCTGATAGATACTGCCTTTCTTTTGGGGAAACCCAGAACACAATAGCAATGTTCAGATTGTTATGGCGGTTTTTTATGTTACTGTTCTTTGTATAGGTGATAGTAAACAAAGAGTAGGTTTATGTTGGTGCAGGCATTTAATCCCAGGGCTTGGGAGGTAGAGTCAGGAGTTGAGAGACTTCAGAGTCTTCCTCATGGTGAGGAGTTGGAGGCCAGGCTGACATTACCAGTTGTTAACACATCTCAAAGCAAACTAAAGCAGGGCTGGGGAAATAGTGCAAGGGCCGGTTACATGCTTCTGCTTGGTTATAGTCCCAGTGCTGGGGAGATAGAGACACTCTGGGCCCTGCTGGCTGGCCAGCCTAGCCTGGGTGCCAAGGTCTACTGCAGGGAAACCCTGCTCCTGAGGAACACCATTGGAGATTGCTGTTCTTCCTCTCTGGCCTCAGTGAGCATTTACACTGTCCCCAGGCACCCCTGTGTAGATGTGCCTGTGCTCACTCTCTCTCTCCTCTCCCGTCCTCACACACACAATTGTTTAAAAAGATAGCACTTTGTAGCTGGATTTTGAACTAGTTTTCTTTAACACTGACTATGTCTTTCAGATTTCTTCAGAGGTCCCACAGTACCAAATGTCCGGCTGGCTGGATTAGAGTATGTTCTGCACTTCACTGCACTGAGTGGGAAGGTTTACTTTCGGAGCTATAAGTAAGTGTATCCCCAGGTGTTTTTCAAAGTCCTCAGGGTCCACATTTTATTCTAATTCAAAGCTGGTTCTTGCTGGGACCAGGAGCTGTGCCCCGACCCCCTATCTGTCCTCCCTGTTAGCTTTGGACTGGGGAACTCACTTTTCCCGAGTCTCTGATCATCTATGGTGAGTCTGGTGTGTTTAGTGGTCTCGCTCCCTAGATTTCTGTGCCATCTCATTATTGCTCTTGATTTAGAGCATCAAGCCACAGTCAAGCCAGCCAAAGCAATTTTCAGAATTCTAGATTTGAAAGCTACAACCCAAATCAAATAGAAAGGACCAGTGGCTGCCTGCATTAATTTCTCCTGCAGCGTAGGTTTCTACCATAACCCAGCACAATGTTAATATGAGTGTAAGTCCTGACAAGCAGATTGATTGTTCAGTCTGAGTTTCTGAAACAATATTTCTTTGTGTAGCTTTAAGCTGGCCTTGAACTCGTAACCCAGGTAGGCCCCAGACTTCAGTCCTCCGGCCCCAGCATTTTAAGTGCTGGGATTGTAGGCTTAAGCCGCTGCTTCAGCCAGGTTCTGTTGATCGGTGACATACTGATGTGCTAAAATTACACTTTTTAAGTTAGCATCCCTCTTACCCCTGTAAAAAATCAAATGTCCAGATGAAACTAAGTTTTTGCCTCTTTTGTCAATCTGTTGTTTTGTGCCCAGCAGTGTAAAGGTTTATTGAGGGACAAGCCAGGTGGGCGCAGTCCTCCTGAGCACCTTCTTTTCCTGTGTCTTCAGTCACTCAGCTCTTCCCACTTCCACTGTGGATGACAGAGGAAGGTTGGGTTGACGTCTGGCCTTCTCCAAGTCAGATTTAAGAGCAAGGGTGAGGTGTACATCATTGTAGCACACCTTTAGCCCAGCACTTGGAAGGCAGATGTGAGTAGATCTGCCATAGAGTAGGATTGCTGAAGTCACTTTTAGCGTTACCCTGGCAGCCATTCATAGTACAGTGTTTGAATTTTAAAATCAGAACCCTTAGTATAAACTTTGGTTTTCATTTTGGGGACAAGGTTTCATGTAGCCCAGGCTGGCCTTAAACTTTTGACCTCTTGCTTCCATCTCAAGTGCTGCGGTCTTGGGGTTTCTTGTGGCTATGCTGCTGTGTACTTGGCTTTCTCAATGCAAACTGCTGTAGCCAACGTCAGTGCTCGCACTCACGTGTTCAGTGAGTTTGCTTTCTGAGTGAAGGCCACTCTGCACGTGAATTGGTTTGTTTGGTTCTTTTTGACACACTCTAGTGTAGGCATACTTTTTAGTCTATTTTATTTTAGTTCCTTATGCCTCTACCTCCCTTCCAACTCTTCTCCATCCTAATAACCTCCAACTCCCCAACACTAGATAGAGAAAGAAGGTTAGAAGGGAAAGAGGCAGAGTGTGTTCTCTTTGCTACTTCTCATCAAACTGCATCAAAAGCAGCCAGGAACAGCAGAGGGGAGCTCCCGGCTGTCTGCCAGCTCTGGTGTTATATCGACTCAAAGTCCTCAGAATTAAACCACCTGCAGCTGGCAAAGATCATGCTCCTGCCAGAGCACGAGACAATCATAGCTAACAGCTGTGGACAAACTAAAGCAGCCACACACGTCTGGAATTAAGACAAAAGCATGTTTAGGTAACATTACTGAGTTCTTTTTTGTTTTTGTTTTTTTGGGACAAGTAGCCCTGGTTGTCCTGGACTCAATTTGTACACCAGGCTGTCCTCAAACTCACAGAGATCCACCTGCTTCTGCCTCCTGAGTGCTGGCTTGTTTGTTTGTTTAAGATATAGTGCCCCTCTGACTATGCTGTACTTGACCTTATAGTGACCCTCCTGCTTTGGTTTTCCAAGTACTAGAATCATAGACATGGGTTCTCACGACCAGCCTGATAAAGAGTCTCAGTGCCACATACAGCTGTGCTAGGGTATTGGTTAGGTTGTATGCAGAGAAATATGCCAATCAGGAAATGTTCAGTTTACCTTAAAAAGCAAACTTCCAGTATGATCGATTATGTAATGGCAGCAGCACAGTGTCAGCTGAGGAGAGGTATAAGGGAGAGAGCATGGGTTGGCACTGTAACTTAATTTTGAGACATCTTTGCTTTGTAGCTCAGGCTGGCCTCAACCTTAAGCCTTATTTTACCTTCTTAGGGCTGGGTTGACAGACACATGTCAGTATGCCTGGCTTTCATTTTATCTTTCTTTGGAGACATGGGGTAAAGCAGGGTTTCTCTGTGTAGCCCTGGCTGTTTTGGAAGTCTGTAGACCAGGCTGTCCTTGAACTCAGAGATCTGCCAGCCTGTGTTTTTTGAGTGCTAGGATTAAAGGCGTGTGCCACCATGTCCGGTTCTTTTTATTTTATTTTGTGTGTTACTGTAGCTCTTTGTTATTGGACCCTTCTGCTTTAGTGTATCACAGGCTGTCTAACCTTGTTTAATCGAGTGGTGATGGCTTGATGCATGTCTGGTGTTGTGATTTTGCTGTAACTAGCAATTGTGCCTCCCAGGAGTACACTGTCTTGGTTGGCTATCTGGGAGTGCACTTAGGGCCTTGAATTTCTGCTAGTAGGCACTGGCCCACACATGTAGCTGGTCTTTGCTATTTTGGGGTTCTTCTTTATCCCACCCTTTACACCCCCCCCCCCTTTTACCCCCTGTCACTAGATAGGAAAGAAAAGATAGAGGGGAGAGAGATAGGGATCCCTAAATCTGATTTCTTTTTTCTTATTTCTTCTTTAAGCATGATTATTTAACAAACCATAACCAACAGCAACCAACCAGCAACCACCACCAATTAACCTCTCGGGGCCCTAGCATTTATATACCCTTGGAAGAGTTCCCAGAATTCCAAAAAAATTTGCAGAATCTATCTGCAGCTGGCAAAACCATACTTCTGCTTAAAGACACCAAAATTCTAGAATTCTCACTACACAGACACTCACACACCCAGATTCCTGCTGTTTGCTCTTTTGAGCCTTCCTTAATTGTTCTGTTCTTTTTTCACCCAGTCTCTTGCCTCTGTGCCGGCTTTTTGTGCAACGCTAATCTTTCATGAACATTGTTATTCTATCAGTTAATATCTCCCCACCAATCCCCACCCGATACCTTTTTACCTGTGGGGGCTTAGCTGCTCTATCAAATATGGTTGTTGAATATAATGTTCAGATTTGGGGCTGGTTGTTTTTTTTTTTTATTATATTGAGACAGTGTTTCACATAGCCCAAACTGTCCTTGAAGTCACTGTTTAGCAGAGAATGACCTTTAGCTAGTTCTCAGGCCTCCATTTTCCAAGTGCTGGGGTTACCACATCTGGCTAATCTGCAGGTCTTTCAGCTTTTCTTAGGCTACCACTCACAAAACAATTGGGGGGAGATGTGGACCTGAGAGGAAAAGAGTGTTAGTGACTGGGAAGTGGGGTGCAGAAGAAAAGCGGGTGAGCATCATGAATACACAAGGTGTGTCCATATGTAAAAAGCGTCATAGTCATTCCATGAGTGTGCTGTTACTATGTTAATACAGAGAAAATGCTAAGACTTCCCTCTTGTCTGTACAGCTCCTCACTCTGCCTTTCTCCTGCTCCCTCAGATATTTTAGATTTGGAGTTATTTGGACATAGTGTTTTGAAGAAGTTGTGATTTTCTTTTTAGGTTTACCTCAATCTACTGAGGTCATTAATGTGTTGTAGGGAAAAGTTGAGTTTGAATGGGTTTACTTAACTCGTACAATGTTGGAAATGGGAACTTGTTAATCTTTTTAAACATACTGTTCCAGAAGTCCAGTTATAGTTATTATTTTGATACTAGGTATCAAATTTGTGCAAACATTCATGAGCTCTCTACCACTGAATTATTTGTATACTTGTTTCTCAGCAATATTACATGATTTCATTTCTGCTAGCCAAATGTTTAAGAGGTTTGACCTTTGTAGCTTACCATTTGAAGCTATAAAACCCTCTCAACAAAGATTTCAGAGGAGACTTAAAAAAAAATCAAAACAGTATTTTCCTCCTATTTATAAAGGCTGCTGTTGAAGAAATCTGGGTGCAGAACTCCACGGATCGAACTGGAAGAGATGGGCCCATCATTGGACCTGGTCATGAGGAGGACACACTTAGCATCAGATGACCTTTACAAATTGTCCATGAAAATGCCCAAAGCTCTCAAGGTACATTATCTGTGATGTGGTACTGTGTTTATTTCTATATTCAGAAAAAGGAGAAAGAACCTATCCAGATAAAGGTAACAGAGGATGCAAAAGCCAGGACTCTAGTTTGGCTGTCAGTTCTTTTGTAGCCAAGACTGCCATTTTGAGCCAAACCAGAACAGTTTGGGCATCATGAGCTGGGTGAAGGGCTTTTTTAGAATGATATAGGCATTAAATGTTTATTGAGTTGTAACCTAGGCTGGCCTTAAACTTCTGTCTCAGATCCTCAAGTGCTGGATTATAGGCATTCAGTACCAGGCCCAGCTTTGTTTTGGCTTTTTTGTTTTGTTTTGACTTTTTTGAGACTAGGTTTCTCCGTGTAGCCTTGGCTGTCCTGGAACTTACTCTGTAGACCAGGCTGGCCTCAAACTCACAGAGATCGCCTGCCTCTGACTCCCTAGTGCTGGGATTAAAGATAGTACCACCATTGCCCAGCTTATTTTGACTTTTTTTTTTTTTTTTTAAAGATTCATTTATTGTCTGTACAACATTCTGTTTGCATGTATGCCAGGAGAGGTCACAAGACCTCACTATAGATGGTTGTGAACCACCGTGTGGTTGCTGGGAATTGAACTACGGACCTCTGGAAGAGCAGCGAGTGCTCTTAACCTCTGAGCCATCTCTCTAGCCCTTATTTTGACTTTTAAATTATTTCAAAAGCAAATAAAAGGACTAAAGAGATGGCTCAGTGGTTAAGGGCACTTGGTACTATTGCAGAGAACCAGAGTTTGAGCTTAGAACCCCTGTAACCTCTCTGGTGGCCTCTGTGGCCCCTGCATCCACACATGCACATGAATAGCAATAAAATTTCTTTTAAAGCAATAAGTAGAAATCTTAACTCTGGAGTAATAACAGATTGAACTAACACCTACACTTCTGATGGAAGCACAGCAAACTATCACGATGCACTGCAGTGGTCAGGGTCGTGATTCTTGCCAGATGACCTGACCTTTCACCCAGATGGCAGCATTCTTGGGCATGGAGGAGAGGCTAGTAGCTAGCTCTGAGTGAGATCCTTAGAGAAGAAAGGTGTGTAAAGCTGTGTTGTGTTTTTTTTTTTGTGTGTGTGTGTGTGTGTGTGTGTGAGAGAGAGAGAGAGAGAGTTTCACAATGAGAATTAGTACTAAGATAGTTACATGCTAGAGTTTTGCCAGTTTATATATTATAAGGCTATTTTAAAAATTACATACACACTTTATTTTTTTCTTTTTTTTTTACAGCCAAAGAAGAGAAAGAACATTTCCCAGGATACTTTCGGTACAACTTTTGGAAGGATTCATATGCAGAAGCAAGACCTAAGCAAACTACAAACCAGGAAAATGAAGGGATTGAAGAAAAGACCTGCAGAGAATGGAACAGAAGGCCAGGGGAAAAAATCAAAGAGAATGAAGAAAAATTAGTGGAACCTAACTGACGAGCGCTTTCTTGTGGTTGTTTACTAAAGAGAATTTTCTACTGGAGTCTGTTCCGTTTTCTCATAGGAATTTCTATTTTTGGAGGTTTTTGGAGGTGGGAGGGGGCAAGATTTCACAAGTAGCCCAGGCTGGCCTCAGCCTCCCAAGTGCTGCAATTACAGGCAAGTGCCAACAAACCCAGCATAATTGTATATTTCTGTAACATAATTTATTACTTAAATTTTCTTTAAAAATTGAAGTTTGTGTTTGGATCATATTTACCCCACTCTTCCTGTTTTTACATTTTTTTAAATTAATGTGTGTTGTGGGTGGTTTTCCCTCCAGGCCCAAGCTCCCAGAATACTCAAAATACATATATTTACAAATACCTCGGCTCTTCTCTGACTAGCTCATAACTTTAAAAAACCACAACTTTTTCTAATCTCCATTTAGCCAAGTGGCTCGTTATCTCTGCTCAGGTACCATGTGTCTGTCCTCACATTTTGCCAGCCAGATTTCTATCCCAGAATCCTTCCTGCCTGCTGGATGTCCCTCCTCCTATTTTCTGCCTAAGCTGTAGACCATCAGATTATCGACAGGTGTTGCATCCATACAATAAACAAGATATATTCTCAAGCGTGTGTGTGTGTGTGTGTGTGTGTGTGTGTGTGTGTGTGATTCATAGTGTGGTGTGGTCAGAATACAGCTGTGGTTTTATCCTGTGGGGATTGAACTCTATCTCAGTTTGTCAGACTCATACCACAGGTAAGCGTCTTATCCACTGAACCATCTTGCTGGCCCTGTTTATTACTCTCTTTATGAACAATAACGTGCTATAAGCTTAAAACAGGCTTTTTTACCTTTGCCATTGGGTGCCAATGTACTGTTTTATGCTGGTTTGCTAGCCCTCTTCCCGTATTCTCTTCTCTTAACCGTGTGAGAATGAGGGTCCATCACGCCAGTGGATCAGGTGGTGCTGGACATGGTAACTTGGGTGATAAAAGAAGTGATATGGAGTTGGAGTGTGAACACATGGGCAGAGCATTAGTGGGGGAGGGGCTTTTCCTGAGGGCTTACCATAGTGATAAGTGATCAGGCTGCCCTTGTACAAAGAAGGAAGCTGGGGTGTGTTGAGATTGGGGAGCCATGGGATGGGTTGTAAATCACAGCACAAAACACGCAGCAAGTCCCGTGTGGGAAGTTTATTAGACAGAGACTGCCTCTGGGTAAGGTGGCCGGTGCATGCTCGGATGGGCACAGGAGTGTCATTCTTGGCAGCTGGTAGTGACCTGTCTTGCTGTTGCTGGGTTTCTGGGGCTGGCTGTGAAGTTGCCTGACTCCTAATATTTGGTTTTTATTAAAACAAAAAGTAGGAAGAGGAGTGATGGCGAGAAAGGAATAGGGGCAATTTGTGCTCTTTAGGCTGCTTCCTACTGACTAGGGACATTGTCATTCTTGGGGTAGAGCTGGTCCTTACCATCAGGGTCCGATTCTTTGGGCAGAGGTTGATAATCCTGTGAGAATAACTGATTGTGGTTTGGTTAGAGATATTTTTGATTTGTTATTGGAGGAATGTAGAGAAGTTGATAAAGCAGAGTGCAGATAGTAAGAGCAAAAAGATGAGAAAGAGAGGGGTGAGGAAGGGCAGAGACCACTTCCATATGGGGTTTTCAAATGCCCAAGAGTTGGGGGCCTCAAGTTGTTTTTTCATTTTTGGAGGTCAGTCTGCTGGGGTTTTTTTTGTTTGTTTGTTTGTTTTTTTTTTTTTTTTTGTGTGTGTGTGTGTGTGTTTTAACTCTGCCCGACTGATTAACATAAAAGCAGCCTTCCTCTTGAAGGAAGAGGCAAAGGCCCCCTTTTTCAGCCATCAGAAGACACCACTACAGCTGAGTGAATCTGCCCCTGAGGAGTTAGTGTTGTCTTAGCCACCTGCAACAATACCTGGAGTTGGGCTCTGACATCTGACAGGTTTTACAGGAGGCAGTGATAGTCTTTAAGAAATGTAAGTCCTCAGGGGTGGGTTCCAGGTTAGATAAGGCTTGGCTGTCAGGGTGGAAGAGATGGTGCAGGTAGGACAGAATGTGATGAGTGTCAGGAGGTGACAGGGGATATGTGGGTTCTGGTGTAAGGATGTTCTTTGGTAGGTGAGACGAGTCTAGGCCTCCGAGGGCCGTAGATTGAGTGGACTCGACAGCTAGTTATCTCCCTTGGAGATGACGGAATTTTTCTTCTGATGGGACCTCAGTTGACTATTCTGATAGCTGGGGGGAAGTGGGAGGCTGTTAGCATGGCTATAATTGGGTCTGCGTCAGATATTGATCCTTTCTTGTCAGTAACCTGTGCTCTCTCCAGATAGCAGCATGGGAGAGAAGAATATGAAAGATACATGTGTAGATGTTTAGGGATTGTTCCTGTGGCAATTGGAAGGTGTGGTAAAGAGCTATTAGTTTGGCCTGTGTTTTAGTGATGTAGGCAGAGAGGGCTCGTGCCTCAGCCACCTCAGTATCCGACACTATGGCATAATGTGCTTTTCGTGCTCCCTCATATACAAGGGAGCTGCCATCTGTATACCATTATAGATGGCCTGAGGCTATGTGCCCTATGTGTGAGGGGTGGAGCAATAGTTTCTCTAAGGTTTCAGTGCAAGAATGAGATGGTGAGTGGTTAGCCTTAGGTCGAAGAAGAAGCTTTGAAATATTAAGAAGTGGGCATGGTTGGAAAGTAAGAGTAGAGTCTTCTACTAGTGCTACCTAGTTTTTCTTTAGATTAAAAAAATATTGGGCTGGAGAAATGGCTCAGTGGTTAAGAGCACTGGCTGTTCTTCCAGAGGACCCAGCTTCACTTCTCAGCACCCATAGCTCACAACTGTCTGTGACTCCAGTTCCAGAGCCTCACAAAGACATGCAGGAAAAAACACCAATGCTCATAAAATGATAAGTTATTTAAAAATTCCAACTGCTAGCTGATATTTTCATACAGATTCTTCTATTACAGGTCTCGCTGTGTAGCCCTGGCTGTCCTGAAACTCACTCTGTAGACCAGGCTGGCCTCAAACCCATGGAGATCCACCTGCCTCTGCCTCCCAGGTGCTAGGATCAAAGGGCAGCTCAAACTGGCAGGTGTTAATTTTGTTAACCAAGCTGATACCCTTTCCAAAAAATGAGAGAGGACGGTGCCTGTCCCTGCTCTGGGCTTGTTTTCTCTTGCCCTGGGTAGATGTGTGTCACCTGTTAGAGACGGTTCTACTGTGTGCTCAACCAGAGAAGGGCAGAGTCAGCAACTGAGAGAAGAGCCCAACTGGGCAGTCCTTACATAATGTTATGGCCTCCTTTGTCTCCGCGGTGACTGCCTTCCAAGAGTTTCCAACAAGGCCTTTGGCCTCCAGGTACATGGAGTTCTGAGCTGTTTTCTGGATTTGGCTGCTCAGGTTTTGGCTCTGCATAACTCAATACCACTTTAATGCCTGATCCTCTCTAAGGGTTATTTTTATCTTCATAAAGTCAGTCCTTAGTTCCTTCAAGTAGTCTGATCGGATCTGGAAATGAGACCTCCCTACCAGGTCTGGGTAACATAATCACCGTTGCTAATTCCATCTTTTCCAAGCTGCCGTGAAGCTATAGATAGTTCCACAAATACATTTTCTTAAATGTGCTTATAGCCAGGGTCCATGGTGCCTAGCCAATGCAGTGAAGTTAACACTGATTTTATTGTCCCATCTAGAGGCTAAAACCACAGGGAAGTTTTGACTTTACAGACAGTTCCAGATAGACGGGCAGACGAAGCTGTCTCCACCTGAACCACTGAAGATGAGCACCATAAGCAAAAATGAGCCGGGTGATGGCAGCTCATGGCTTTAATTACAGCCATTGGGAGGCAGAGGCAGGTGGATCTCTGTGAGTTAGTTCAAAGCCAGCCTGGTCTACAGAGCTATTTCCAGGACAAGACAGGACAGGGCTACACAGAAACTGTCTGGAAAAACGAAATCACAAAATAAAAAGCAAAACCGAACAAAACTGAGGGGGGTGGGGTGGAGAGATGGCTCAGCTGTTAAGATCACTGGCTGCTTGTACAGAGGACCTGGGGTTCAATTTCCAGCCTACAACTGTAACTTCAGTCCCAGGAGATCAAATGCCCTCCTCTGGATTCCAAGGGCACTGGTCACATGTGGCACACAGCCATACATGCAGGCAAAACGCCCATACACATAAAATCAAACGAAATGAAAATTAAAAGAAAGGGAGCTGAAAGGTGCTGAGGGGCTAAGGTGACCTGTCCCCGCAGAGGACTTTGGTTTGGTTGCAGCATCCACATGAAGGCTCTTTAACTCCAGTTCAGGATCTGACACTCACCCTCCTGTCCTCTACAGGAAACGGGTTCTAGCAACACTCACATGTATACGTTCAGGAAAACACTCAAAGTAAAAATAAATAATTCTAAAACAAAGGAAGGGCAGGCTTCAGAAATCCACGAGGGTATTGATAGATATCTGGAAGAATTGAGGGGAAAAAAAAAAAAAAAAAAAAAAAAAAGGACAGGTGCTGTACGGAGAAGGTCTTGCTCAAGTCCTGCAGTGCGAAGTGGGCGGGGGTAGAAGATATTCCGAAATGTAAGGCAGGTGACCGGTCAAAAGAAACTAGCGGTGCACCGCCCTCACGAGTCCCAAATCCAGCTGTAGATTTTGCTAAACAGTGACTCGCTCTGTATGGCTTGGTAAATGTGCGGTCCCGAGAGAGAACCGCTGTTTGAAAGCGAGCCACCTTGTGGGCTTGAGAACAAGAAACAAGTAAAGCCAGAGACTGACTTCATTCGGCCATAGCAACAGGACTAGGAACCGGGGAGCAGCGTCGAGAGCAGGAGGGGCAGTTATAAAGACCCGCGGATGAGTGGGCGTGGAGGGAGGCTGCTCTCGCGCCGGGGAGCCCCGGGGAAAGGTGAGGGAGCCTGCAAACTGAAGGCCCCGGAGGTCTGCCCGGCTCCCCAGCCGCACCCCGCCCGCAGGGTGGTGGATACACAGGAGGTTTGAAAGAAGGAAGCCAGGTCCTCCGCCTGTGCAGAGCTCAGGACACCTCCAGCTACGGCAGTAGCCACCTGGGCGGTGTGGGCTGGAGGATTTCAATAGGGTGAGAAGAGCCGGCCCAGCCCGCAGGCTGCAAAGCTAAGTGCGGCCAGCAGAGGCCCCCTGTACCCAAGAAGTGACAGGTCACAGGACCGGCAAGACCGCCTAAGTCCAGCTGACCTCCCCACTCGAGCGTATAATAGTAGACTCTAAGTTTTGAGATCTCAGGAGGAAAAAAAAAAAACAAAACAACGCTACTTCTTTTTATTATTTTATTTTATTTATTGTTAGTTACATTTTATTAACTCTGTATCCCAGCTGTATCCCATT